CGCCCGCTGCGCGTGCCGAAAAATCCCCTTCTCCTTGCCTGACACGGACCCTACCTCTAAATGGGACGAATATGAAGAGGGAGATACCATTTTGGTAATAGACTTCGAAGAAGCCTTCCACGTACGGGCCATGGGAACCAAGGCCAACGAACTAGCCACAAGGGCCAATGCCAAGAAGGCAGTCAAATCCTTCGAGGAAATTGTGCCAGTGGATTACCGAGAGTTTCAAGATGTCTTTGCTAAAGAAAACTTTGATGAACTCCCTCCTCGGAAGCCGTGGGATCACGCCATTGAGCTAATTCCAAACACCAATGCCAACCTGGATTGCAAAGTCTACCCCCTAAATCCCACTGAGCAAGAGGAGCTGGACAAATTCCTCGACGAGAACTTATCCACCGGTCGCATTCAACCCTCAAAGTCCCCGATGGCGTCTCCTTTCTTCTTTGTCAAAAAGAAAGACAGGAAGCTCCGACCGGTCCAGGACTACCGGAAACTCAATGAAATGACAATCAAGAACCGGTATCCATTGCCGTTGATTGGAGAGCTGATGGACCGACTAAAGAAGGCCAAGTACTTCACCAAGTTGGATGTGCGGTGGGGATATAACAATGTCCGGATAAAGCAAGGGGATGAGTGGAAGGCCGCGTTTCGTACCAACCGTGGCCTCTATGAACCCCTTGTAATGTTCTTCGGACTCACCAATTCCCTGGCCACCTTCCAATGGATGATGAATGACATCTTTAAAGACCTCATAGCCGCCAGGGAGGTATCGGTATACCTAGACGACATACTCGTTGCATCTCAAACCAAGGAGGACCATAAACGCATCATTCGCAAGGTGCTAAAGATACTTTGGGACAATAACTTATTCCTGAAAGCTGAAAAATGCGAATTCGAGGTGGAAGAGACCGAATATCTAGGGGTGATCATTAGCGAAGGAAGAATTCATATGGATCCCATAAAAATCGCAGGCCTACTGGATTGGCCGGTTCCTCGCAAGAAACAGGAACTACAATCCTTCCTGGGCTTCTGCAACTTTTATCGTTGATTCATATGTGACTATAGCAAACATGTTAAGCTGCTAACGATACTCACAGGCAAGACCGAGTGGAATTGGGGGAGAGCCCAGCAGGAGGCATTCGATAAACTATAAGAGTTATTCCGGGAGGACGTGGTATTAGCCATACTGCTCTATGAAGGGAAATTTCGGGTTGAGGCAGACTCAAGTGAGGGGGCCGTAGGAGCCATCTTGTCGCAATTACAAGATGACAAATGGCGTCCAGTCGCCTTTCTCTCAAAGGCGCTGGCCACGACGGAACGAAATTATGAGATCTATGATAAGGAGCTCCTCGCCGTCATGATCGCCTTGGAGGAGTGGCGCCAGTATCTTATGGGTGCCCAGGAAGATTTCGAGATCTGGATGGACCACTCTAACCTCCAGTACTTCCGAAAACCCCAAAAGCTTAACCGACAACAAGCTCGATGGGTGACAGAGTTAGCAGAGTACCAATTTACCCTGCACCATAAACCGGGAGCCCAGAACCGCAAAGCCGATCTGTTGTCACGATGAGCGGATCATGACCAGGGGTGAGACGATAATAAGGATGTGGTTGTCCTAAAAGCTGAACACTTCAGGGCCTTGACGATGCCGACACAGGAAGAATTGCACGAGGAAATCAAGCTAGCCACCCATGACCCCCGTAAATGGGACCGGGGAATCTCCGACTCCCTCAACCATGAGAAGGGGGTATCCCGAGATCAAGACTTACTTTGGTACGATGGGCGTATCTATATCCCCATGGATAGGAGATTATGAGGGAAGATTATAGCTCTTCGACATGATCATGTAATGGCGGGACACCCCGGGGTGGAAAAGACCAAAGAACTTCTCCTCCGGGACTACTGGTGGCCCTGCATGCACCAGGAAGTGGAAGCATACGTGAAGGGATGTGAAGTCTGTCAACGAATCAAGGCAGACTGACGGCCCAAGAAGGTGCCTCTTCACCCAAATGAGGTACCTAGCCACCCGTGGACCCACATATCGGTCGACATGATCACCAAACTCCCTAATTCAAAGGGGTTCGACTCCATCCTGGTGATTGTTGACAGATTTTCCAAGACAATTATCCCGATCGCATGTACCGAGGAGCTTACTTCCTTGGGCTTCGCCAAAATCCTAAGGGACCACATTTACGTGCCCTATGGAGTAATGCCCGAGAAAGTCATCTCAGACTGAGGGGCCATTTTCGTATCCAGGTTCATGAAAGAGTTCTACCAGCTAGTACAAGTCGAAGGGAACCCTTCCACGGCCTATCACCCACAGACAGATGGGCAGACAGAGTGGGTCAACCAGGAGATAGAAAAGTATCTCAAAATGTTTGTTAACTATCGACAAGATGACTGGAGCGACTGGCTGCTGTTGGCCGCCTTCACCCACAATAACCGAAAGCACTCAGCGACCGGTTTCTCTCCCTACAAAGTAGTTTTCGGAAGAGATGGACAAGTCATCAAGATGACCCAACACCCGGACGTAGTTCCCACTGCGTCAAAACTAGTCCAAGGGACAAAAGAGGTTCAGGGGAAGGCCAGGGGGTCCCTGGAAAGGGCGGCAGACTTGATGAAGAAAGCCTACGACAAGCATAAGGACACCGCTGTGGAATACCAGGTGGGCGATAAGGTGTGGCTGGATTCCACCAACCTAAACCTTCCGCACCCAACCAAGAAGCTAGGAGATTGGCGCATAGGACCTTTCTCCATTCTCGCCAAGAAGGGGTTATCCGCCTACGAACTTAAACTTCCAGTAGGCTGGAAAATCCATAATCGATTCAACGAATCTCTCCTAACTCTGTACCATGCACCCGAGTTCCCTAATCAACCCAGACCTGAGAGGCCTCCTCCAGAACTTATTGACGACGAGGAAGAATATGAGATAGAAAAAATTGTTGAACAGCGGGATAAAGCGGTGGGTCGGGGATGAAATCGCCACATAGTCACCAAATACCTGGTCAAGTGGAGGGGATATCCAATGGAGGAGAACTTGTGGGTGAAACGTTCAAACATGGCCAATGCAGAGCAGCTCGTAGATGAGTACGAAGCCCGCCTACAGAGGATCAGATGGGAAGTCGATAAACATGGAAAAACCGTCAGGATCAACGACAAAATACCAACAAACCTCAGTATTAAATACCATGAACCGGACACTCCCTGTGTCACGGACATCGAAATGGTCCCATCCTCCCAATGCTCAGCGATAGCCCATTCGGAGGAAATTGATAGGATAGTCAAAGACATACCTATCAATTGGCACCCGGCCTTCAATCCAGAATTAGAAAACGACTTCATTGAAGGAAAATGGCCAAAGGTGTCAACTGACGAAGCAGACGGAGTGCCATGCATCGAGGAAGAGAGCGATACAGAAGAAGAAGTAAATCTGCAAAACCTCCAACATATTCACGAAAACTGGAACATGGATGAGACAGAGGAGGAAGACAATGAACCATCCTTTTACTCCGAATCAAACCACTCATCCTCCGATGACGACTGGGAGTCTGATGACTCATTCGGGACAAACGAGTCTTAGGGAGGGGGTAATGTTACGATTTATTCATTTTTCTTCGTATGACTCAGCCTGATTACTCATACGCGATCACAACGGACACATTCTCACAGTACTATTATTAGTTTACCAACGTGTATTTAAGTAGAGCCTCAGCTGGATGAAACCCCAGCTTTGGCTAAGGTTTAATCTACCCAACTCAAACTCCATCCTTCGTGACTATCTGTCTCTATTGGCTTTGACCTCGCCTTTGACTTGCTAGAGTATCATCCACCGAAGTGTGAGTGGTGATCCTAGTTCGATCTAAGACGACGATTAGTTGGTTGTTAACAAGGTACTTCCAAAGATAATGGCGGTGCAGTCTGAGGGGGTGAGTGGCATAAAGGTCGTTGTACCACAACGAATGTTTATGGTCTCGAGGTACAGTGGGTGCCATTTTTTAAATAACGGGCTGAAGGTTTCCTTTTTCTTTTGGAAGTATAACAGTGACTGCCTTGAAGCGGTACAGTCACCGTTGACAATGGTAAGGGTAGTAAGGGCAAGCTTTGGCTAATTGTTAAGCACTAACTCTAATCTGAACCAAGGCTGATCTCTATCCTGTCACTTGCATTCGGTGATTCAGCGTTAGAGAGGCGTTGGTTGATTGTGAGAAGTTAGGCATCACTTATAGTGAGAGCAGGGAGCTTGTAAGAGTTAGGAGTATATAACCTTAGCCGAAGCTGGGGTCTGAGGCCACAGCATAGGCTAGCTTAAATACATGTTAGACTTGTACTAAGAATAGTATCTACAAGGGCACGTGCAACAAGAAGTGCATCTTTCAACAAATGAGGAGGGAGGACACTAAAAGAAGTATGTTCCTGACGAATGAGAGTAAAGAGCACATATCACCTGCATCTGCGTGGGACTCCGTCTGAATAGGCTGCATCCTGTAGGCCGCCCTTGACTGGTGGTCAACTCTCGTCCAACTACTAAGAAGCATGATGCCATCAAGAGAAGCGTGATGGCACATGCAGGTCGCTGGTCATCTGGGGGTGGCAGCGTGAACTGGGGTGACGGCGACTGGGTAACCGGGTAAAGAGTGTGCCAGCAGAATATCATGGGTCCGAGAGATAAGATAGGCAGGTCCAGGGTTCTGATGGATAAGGATAAGATAAGATAAGGAAAATAGGGGTAAAACTGTAATATAAACACTGTCCATGTGTTCTATTATATGTTATCTTGAGTTTCTCCCACCTTCAGTTGGTAAACTGTTACCCCATCTCCTTCTCTTTCAGTGGTGACTATCTTTGATGGCATCATTCAATGGCTCCTGAATTGATATTCTTGTCAAGTGACCATCATCAGGCTATGTTGCACAGCACTGAGTCCTGTGCAAGATCTCAAAGTGAGTTGCCATGGTCTTATTCTCTATGCAGACTTCTTCATCTTTAACTTACCCTTCATGATGACTTTGAAGACTCAGTGTGGTCTATTTTTCCCTGGAGCAAGGATGCAGCTGTTTTTTATCTGGACACTGGTTGCTCTTAGTTTTGCAGACACAGGGGCAGCACAGGACCTCAAACCTTCTACTTCCTGGAGAGTGAGTATTGTTATGCCATCAGATGAAAGCAACTGTTAACATTCTAAATTTCTAATCAGAAGCCTAACATAACAACATCCAAGGATGAATGTATTAGCATTGCAAGTGCTGCTCTGGAGAAAGCAATTAGCAACCTTACACCTGATGGAATGTTTGGTGGCACGTTTCTCTCTTTTACTGTTTTGTTTAACATTTTCAGAACTTTTGTGTCACACTCAGATTCTACATATGGAACCCCTGGGAGGCTTTATGCACAAATGGTTGAATTTGATAGGCTGACAAACCAGACAAAGTACAAAGACATGCTAAAGCACTATTTTGTATTGGCAGAATTGGAAAAACCTGGATTTATGGATGTATTGTCAGTATTCTCTCATCACATTCAAGTTTTCTGAGTCTTTACTCATTGAACTTGATTCAGTGTTAGTCCTGTTTATTTACAAGCATTCTCAGAAATTGATGATACCTCTTGTAACTCAAATAGATAGACTATGGACTGTAAGTATGGTGAGTATCAATAGTTTCCATATTACTTATATTTCTCAGGAGTTATGGATATGCTGCTGCCCATGCATATACCACATATCAAGACAATGACTTTCTTGACTGGGCTGTGACTTCTTGGACTTCTGGAAGACTATACACCATCTCTGAGAGCCAAGCAGCACTGGGGATCATGGACAAGAAGCAGTTCAACATGTCATCATCCTGCCAAGATAGTGAGCATCATCAACAAGCTGCATTTGATCCATCTCCTAATAGAAGTCCACAGCTACTATGGCTGGTGGTACATTTTGGGTGTGTTATAATCTACACTCATATTTTAATACTTATTTCATCAAGTCCAATGATACCAATGAACCAACACTCAATTCTCTAAACTCAGGGTTAGTTTTGTTATTTATTATCCTTATATCAAATCTTGATCATCTGTGCTAACTCTGTATGACAAGCTCCTTTTTTATGTGAGCTCAGTACCCTTCTGCATGGTGAAAGGCTGACTATTTCAAAGTGTTTCTGCTCTATTAGCAGAAGCAACCTCTAATGAGACATATCTCAATGCTTCCATGGAGTCAGCAAATTTCTTACAGTCAGATCTTCTCAATCTTGATAATAATATCATGCTTTTTTCTATCTCTTCAAAGTTGAGTGACTCCTGCTTAGTAGAATCTGCAATGTATTTGTATGATTCAGCAGTCTTTGTTGAAGGATTAGCTATCCTAGCTTCTATCACTAGTAGCGCATCAACTGAAGCCTTGTATGTATTCTATTCCAAATGCTGGCTATTCAAATACCAATTTATACTTTCTTCTAGACTATGCAGCACTGCCATTGCTATTGTTTCTGACAGTGAAATATGGCAGGGAATAGATGGGGTCATTGATAGTATATTTTACCTGTAAAATCATTTCACATGCTCATCATTGTTGTTTGGAAATGAAGCTATGGACCTTGGAGGACACTATGTTCTACATGCCCTGGCAGCTGTATATGAGCATAACACAACATCCTCTGATCTTTGTGAATATATCGAGGGATACATTGTTCAGGTGAGCTTTCAATAAGTCATCCCAGCTGCTTTAATAGCTTATTGTTCCTGGGTACTGGATGCAGTACAATGCTGTCATTGAGCAGGCCACCTCAGGTGGGAGCAACATTTATGGGGTGCCCTGGACAGGACTAGGGCTTTGCACCATCCTGTATACGGTATACAGCCGTATAGCCACGGTACAGTGACAGGCGATGGCTGGTCCATATACTGTACTGTCAAGGCTCTTAGAACTAGGTTGACGGTATGGTACAGGTATATAGACGGCTGCGCTGGTTGTCAATATGGCCAATGAATAATACATACCTGATATTTTGGGCTTTGGAGCAGCTTCAGGTCCTTCCATGGGCACATTGAAGAGGCTCTGTGCATGCCAAGCTCGAAATGCGATAGTGTAGACACACTAAACACACCCACTCACACACACACACACACACACAGAATCTCAGTAGTTCGGGGGAGATGTGCGATGCAAGCACACAATAACAGTAGAATTAAAAGATGTCTTGTGCTCTTCAAGATATAATAGCATGCTAGCTCAAAAGAATTCTCTAAGTCCAAATGCTTTTAGGACAGGAGGTGAGCGATATGTATCGCTCGGCCTCAAGGCAAAAGTAATATTTCACAAGCCCACAAATGTCCCACAAGAACGTACAACCCTCAATTGACGTTGTGTGCAACACACAGGTGGCCACAACCCATCAAACAAACTACACATGACTTAAAGCTTCGTGCTCTAAGCAGAAAACACTTTGGAAACCTTTTGTAGATCCACAGGGTTCAAACCTATGCGATCCAGAGACACAGAAACACAGAAACACATCCACAAGCCACAGGGTTTGAACCTATGCTACTTTGGAATAAACCAAAAACCCTCAAAGAGTATTGACAAGCCAAAGGGTTCGAACCTCTGCCACTTGCAACAACTCAGAATTCACAAACACATTCCGCAAACACAAATGCACATTCAAGTTATCACAATACAATATTTCTCCGAGTTGAGCGCAATCAATTACTGTCCAGAATCAAGCTAGGTGTTGCGCGTGAGCAAGGCATGCCTCGCAACCTCTCAAGCATCTCAAAATAATTCTAGATCCAATAATATTCTTTCGCTTGAAGCTACAAACACAATTCCTTTGGTTGCACACTAGGCTCTCTGCTACATGTCACAACTGCAGGGGTTTGAAAGCTTGCTACCTACTTCTAATTACCATGCTTTTATCTACAGCTAATTATATAAATAGAAATATCGAAAATAGATACGCTCCACCCCAGAGCCATTTCCTCTCTGTGATGCGTCAACTGCATGGTCACTAATTAATATCCTGAGTCAGTCATCCGAGTTAGGGCTCGATAACACGCTGCTCTTTCTTCTTTGCAAGGTCTAGAGTTGCCACACCATGCGGAATATTTCTCCTAATTGGCTCCTTGTTTTTAATTCCTCTGTCGTGCACATCGCTAGTGAGTTGGTATTTTTATTTGGTTGCTGCACAACCTTTTCTTAGTTTAATATTTCATTCTGGGTACAGGGTTTCTCTTGTGTCAGCTGAAGCCCTCTCAGGAGGCTCGGACTGGGTGGTCCTCGGTTCTGAATGACATCTCTCGGTGATTGCCGGATCGGCAGGGTTCACGCATCATAGATCAATGTTGCACGAAGCTCCGTAATTATATTATCTTTTCAGTGTATTTTATTTGAGCGAGACGCTGCTGAGGGATGCATAGGGTGTGAGTCAGGGCACTGAGACTCCACACTTAAATGACACCAGTGTGCTGCTCTAAGTCTAAGCCATGCACTCCACTCAGATTATTTTGTTATATGCTGCTCCTGCCTCAACAATTACAAGCACCCCAATCTCAAAACCTGTGAAGAAGGTTAGGATCAGGGAGGAAGTCAAGTCTGAAGAGATGTCTGACGCTACTTTGGGTGCCCGGAAGGGAAATTCCAAGTCGTCAAGCCCTTTGGGTTTGCAGGCTAGTAATCTTGGTAGATTGCGAGGTCGGTCTCCGATGTCAGGTTCCAACAATGTGATAGGTAATCCTCACATCGACATGCAGCATATGATTGGGGTTGCACAGAATGCCATGCGGGGCAACAAGCATCGGGATACACCCAATGTTCGGAGTGGACCAGCTTTTGCCACAGATCAGGTTGCTCCTAATAGTTATCTGGGGCGAGCATTGAAAAAGTCGAATGATGGAGAAGAGACTAGTGTACCTGCTAATGATCCTGATGATCCTGACTCCTCTTCTTCATCATCATCATCATCTTCTCCCTCAGATGACGAGTCTGGCTCTGAAAATGGACGTCATAAGAAGAGGCACCACAAACGGAAGAAATCTTCATGTCAATCACGTTCTCACTCACGAGACAGTACTACATGGGAGAAACCCATCCCTCCTTCCCTGTACAATGGTAGCGATGATCCGAAATTGGTTGCACGTTTCATCCAAGAATGTGAACAGTACCTGAAAATGGCGAGGATTAAGGATGAGGACAAAGTCTTTGGGATTTCGTGTTACCTTGAGGGAAAGGCACGAGACTTCTATGACCAAAGTGTTAGTATGAACTACAATGAATGGGATCTGAATACCTTTTTCTGGGAAATGTTCAACTACTGTTTCCCTCGTGATTTCTGAGCTAAGGTTCGTCGCAAGATCAGACAGTGTTTCCAAGGGAGTCGTGATGTACGTGCCTATGCCCATGAGCTGAAGTGTCACTATCACATGCTCGGAGATGAATCAGAGCATACGCAAGTACTTCGTTTGTGGTATGGATTGTGACATGACCTTAGAAGAGAGTTGAGTCATCGTCTTTATAACGAGGAAGTCAATACTTGGGCAGAAATCGTTGATATGGCCGAGATTTTGGATATATCTCGTGACATGGAGGAGGGTAAAGCCCGTGGTGACTACGAGCATAATCGTCGTGCAAACAACCGTCGCATCAATGAGACAATGGAACAGAATAAGTGGAATGACATACCTCGTTCCAAGCAGGATCACACCCCCAAACCGGCACGTCAAAGCTTCAATGATGAACTACGTGAGCTGTCTGGAGTCCCTCGTAAAGGCCCTATTCAGAACTGGGAAAGACCTGTTCAAAGTAAGAAGGGACCTTGGCATGAGCATAAACTCGACAAGAAGCAGCGTGATGAGTACCTCGCTGAGGGAAAATGTTTCCGCTGTGGAAAGGGTGGACATATGTCCTGACAGTGCCCTGATGGTAGCACAGTCGCTTCAGGATCACGGTCAGGTCCCCCTGGTCATCATAAACCACCAACAATGTCTTTGGCGAATATCCAGTTCAAGCTGAAGGAGGCGGATCAGCTGTCCAGGGTTGCAGATAGCTCTACAAGCTTCGAACTTAACAATATCAGTTTGGAGCTGGATGATGAGGATGTGGACAGCATACCTAGTCATTCGTGGACTCCTACGGATGCTGAGTTGTGGCTTGACCAGCACATGGGCGACATGCTAGATGAGTGGTGGACTTGGCGTATGAATGCCGAGACCAACTGGCCAGATGCACTTGCATTAGGTGGTCACGGAGGCATGGAGGGCAGGAATCCACGGTTCAGCATGTATTGTACAAAAGGCGTAAATTTTGTCTTGTTCGACTCCCTACGAGATGAGCAGGATGAAGTACTGGTACCTGGGAATGTGGTTCAGTACGGTGATATGGTTTCTTGGTGCAGGTCATACCTCATTCAGACGTACTGTATCCCATCTGTTGAACTACCTCCTCCCTTGGGGAAGGATCTAATGGCCATGTTCATTGAGGAATACCTGGACAATGGGTTTAACAACGAGTTCGATGGTCTAGCAAAAAGATTTACCGTTTCATACAAATCCCCGAACGTTTTCCGCGTAAAGGATCGTGTTCTTTGGCACGAGTTTCGTCTGCCTCGTGTGATGGCCTTACACCCGAAGTTCCGGCTGTACAACTGGTGGTTGGCACGAGTTCAACGCTGGGAGAAGACACAACTACGTACCTGCTGTTGGTCTGGTTGGAAAGTTGGTCTCGCTGGCCTGGAGGGCGAGAACGTAGGAGATTCCATAACACGTAAAACCCGCAGGAGACTAGCCGGCTTATACCTTGGACATGTAGGCTATAAGCGAGATAAGCTTACCGCTATCCAACCATCCAGTGAGCAAGGTAAGCTACCGTTTATGTTTCTTCAGTGAAGTCTTATTCATTTCGACGTTTCTAGAATTAAACCCTTCCTGGAGGCCAAATTGTCTCGATATTGCACCAGGACGATGTATCGACATCCCCTGCGAGCGAAGGTGGGTGCGTACTATATTGAATTGTTAGCTTTACTAAATTTTAGTTTGAGGTAACAGATCTTCATCCGCAGACCAAGGCAACAATGGTGGGCTTGTTTTGTTTTCTGCTCATTTCCATCCCCGATAGCTAGCTTGAAGACTTTTGGGCGTTTTCAGATATACCCCTGGCCTTTGAGTATATGGATCGATGTCTGGCGAGCAAGGTAAGCCAGCGTTAAGGTCTCTTCATTGAGTTTGTTGTTCATTCTTTCTCGGTTTGATGTTCAAGAATCAAACCGTTGCGGAGCAAATGGAACACGTTTACACGGTGTATGGGTGTATGGCATTCATTTAGAGTTTTGTCCGGGGCCACAAATGCTCACTTTTTGGCAGATCTGAACTCCACAACACCAAGGTGGAAACCTTGCAGAGCCAAACCTCAGTTGGGTCTTAAGTCTTCCGCCCTGATTCGGTGTTATTTTCAAAGTTTATTGCTCATTTCTTTCATGTTTTAGGTCCGAAGATCAAGGCAAAAACCGTGCCTTCAATCCTCACGGAACCAAACCCCTGCTGGGTCGCTAGTCTGCCATTGTGATCATGAATTCCCGCAATTTAGAACGACCTGGAATCTCGTTTTTAAGACTCGGTTCTGTGAACCTTCCGAAGCCAAAGCCTGGTGAAGAGGGTAAGACTTTGTTCCTGTGGCATTCAGTAAGTCATCACTTATGATCATTTTCGCTGATTTGTTGCTGATTTTTCGGGTCTCTTAGCTACGAAAATCAAAAGCTAGAGATGCGTACCGCTGAACGTCAGTAAGCTTTTGTTCAAGTTTGTATTTAGCTCACGATCTCTCCCCTTTAGGGACTCATTGTCGGCATCAAAAATTTGGACCCAGAAACGTTGCGAAGGCCAATCTACGTGATGTACGGTAAGTCTGGATTCTTCAATTTGGCGTCTTTTCCTAATAACGGCTCGTAGTCGAGGTGGGTCAAACACAGTCAGAGGTGCGTATCTGGCTGTTCACGTGGTTTTTTATTTTTGTGTCGTGCTGTGAGTTCGTATGTGGATAGTGGTCATAAGGAATGATGACGGGATCCTCATAGTCTGACAAGCCACCTTGGGCAGGTCCACAGACGGGCTATTTTTTTTCAAAGCTGAAAGAGGTGAAGGGAGGGTGATGTTCTGCTAGGAGGGAGTGATGATGTACATAAAGGAGCTTGACTTGCAGGTCGTTCGCCAAAATGCAGAGATGCGAAAATAAACAGCTGTATTTGGACATGGGATCCATTCCTAAGTGCACGGTTACGAGGTCCTAACATCCGCAACAGCAGCCATCAATGCATCATTTGCCCGCCCACGTGGTTTTTAGAAGAAAGCATAGCACAGCAGATTATAGACACAAGCAAAGACATGCATGTATTCAATGGCAAGGTATAACAGGTATTAGTATATAATAACACTGATTCCGTGCACATCGCCCCACCCACTCATCCACACCACATCCGCATATTGCGTCACGGATGGAGGTCGATATCTATGGAGTGGATTTCATGGCGTAATTCTCTGTGACTTACATAAGTTAGCCGTCATTCATCAAATCAACGGGCGCTTACCCATCCAATGCTGTGGTGATACTCATTTCAGACTCTGGATCTGCTCACACTAGTGAATACTGCACCTTCTTTGATACGGTCAGTATCCACTTGTGTTGGCTCCTTGGGGCAAATTTGATCTCAGATACAGGCGATCCAGTGAAGCCCATCTCGTTCGCATCGGAGGAGTAGCCGAGTCAGGAGGCGTAACACATACGCTGGTCGAGATCGGGGTCATTGAGGGAATACAGTTAACCATTGGAGAGGATGTCGAGTCTGAATGCGTTTGTCCATACGTCATGTAATCGTGGGAGTACGTGGAACTGTTTACATGCCTGTAATCTCAGTAACCAGCACTGTACAGAGGGGAGAGTCTCACCTGGTGGAAGAGACGAATGCCATGACAGGAAAAGACAGCCTCATCAAGAAAGTCGTACTCTTGGACGCTCGAGTCCAGCAGGTTTATGGGCCAATACAGCGGATGCCCGTAGACGTTGACGCTATCGATGAATGGCCCTGCACAATTGCTGTGAGACAAAGCAACGAGAAATTTATGACGTAGAAGAATCCCAGAAGCATAGAGGGCGAGAAGGAGAGAGAAAGCACGGCAAGCTCACGACAGCAAGCGCAGCGATGGTTGTGAAAGGCAAAAGAATCTGGGAATTCGATCCGGTGTATTTGTACTTGCTTGATGTTGTCAGCTGATTCGCCCCATCCCGGCTTGCTTCTGCAACTAACTAGTATGTCGTCTGTTCCATTCCGCTTGTGTTCTTACTTATATTTCCTCCAGATAGACAAAATATACTGCTTGTTTTATTTCTTTTCAATTGATATACCCATTTTGAGAACAACAACCAGACCAACTACCTCAGGCTGATCCAAGCTTGATCGCGACAAATGCTCACCAAACTGGCCACAATATGCCCATAACTGGCACGAATATTGCACTGATACAATGTATTGTGATTTTCTCTTATTTCACGTGCACTATCCAGAGCTTTTCCACCAGGAGCAAACGATTGCAGAGTTTGAATGTGAGGTACTTTTGTCAGGGTGCGAGGACTATCTATTCTTTCCAGCCTCCAGCTAGCATGACTTTGCAGTATAATTGCCCATCTTTGGGACAGATACAACGATTCGGGCCCAATAGGTGTTGTCAAAACAGCTTAGATTCCCACGGTGTTCCTCCTACGACGATCTAGCACACCAATTCCCCAATAAAAAGCGGCAAAAGGTCAGCACCACGATTCCTGCATTGTAGAGATCGAGATTTCCCATGAAATTTCCTTTGCCGACTCTTCTGAGAAATAGAACCTCGGTGTCGTAAGTCCATTGTCCACTTTGTAGATGGATTACAAGCCTGTGGCCACAATCATATCTAATTTCTCGCAGCTCTCTAAACGACAAAGCCCTCTTGATGGATTACTACTGACTCTGAAGCCGAAGGGTAAGATCTTCGAGCCTGCACCTAAAGTCGGTATCCTTTTATCCTGTCTTATTCTATATTCTAGAGCCGTTGTTACTCACTAGCTCGCACACCTCTGGATACACAGGACATCGACACAGCTCCCACCTCATTCTTGAAGACTCGTACACCTGAAATTATGCAATTAATATTATGTGACCAGATACGCCTTTTCCAATCTACCCAGTAAAACCTACGCATCCTGTCAAATTGCCGCTGTGAGTATCTAAAATGCTCAGTTCCATTGGTCTCCTAATTTTGTACCCTGCCTGCTTTTCCATGCATCGGATTAGCTGCGAGCACCATGAAGTGAAGTACCAAGGATTTCGATAACAGACAGACTTGACGTGTCTTCGAAAGACTTGGTAACGTCGTGGAAGGTTGTTACCTACTCTACGATTTATCCTCCATTCTAGCTTGGCCACGAGAGAGGTATGCACCGGCTGTACTCGTTATAAGTGTACCAAGTTTCAAATTTCTGCCCTGCCAGAATCTGCGGCCTGTGCATCCGGCGGTTTTGCGAAGTAAATGGAGTATCTCTGTCACATCATGTGCTCTTTTGTTAAACGATGACTTTAGCTACCAGGAGACGTGGTATCAAAGAGCTTGGTTATTGAAGGTCGGACCTCATGACCTCGATGATAAAACTGCTTAGTCGATGCCCAAGACCAAATGCAGGGGCCTGTTTCTAACACTTTATGCCATCATGCAGTCACCGTGAGGCATATACCAATCAGATCTCAGAATTCCATTTTCAAGGCCTTGCACGGCTTCAGGTGGACTGTGAGGACGTTTTTTTTGTATATTGTCACAATTATAGTGACAGCCTTTCGATTAACCGCCTTTACTTATAAATGCACTCTTGGTTCCGACACGAGAAATTATTTGGGCCTTCTTGGGAGAGACTGCGCCTTTTATCCGGGAGTATCTGAATAGAGTACACGGAGGCATATCATACGCACTCAAATCCCCTTTCGTTTCAACTCGTCTCACCAATCATTCTGTAGACTTTGTGCATAGACTTGGTTTGTATGCTCGCAGTGCCTGGGTGTCAAGTCTGTGGTCCCGGGCCGTTCCTTCTTGGGGCCTTGTACTGACATTAATGCCAGCACGCCTGGTCTACTACTCACTTATTTCTCGGCAGTAGGTTTCATCACAAACATTCAGAGAAGGAATATGCATATAGTTCTTCCATATATCAACTCATATGTCGCTTTGGGATCTGTACAATGTCCTGTTCCTCAGAAACCAGCTGTATACTAACTAGAAAACTATGTCTTCCTCTCATGTCATCGTCACCCACTTATGTACAACAACAGCATACTCTCCAATTCATGAGTATAACCTCAATTCCAAAAATTTCAAGGGTCCTCTCACTTACACTCATGCAAAGTTAAAGAATCACTGAAGAGTTCGGAATGGCAACAGCTTCTCTCCCTCTCGGCAATCCTAACATCGGCGTGTTATACTCGGGGTGACACATGCTGGACGGGCTCTGAAGGATTTCAAGATGCTGTAGAACCGACAGATAATGTGTTAGCAAGAATAGACATGCTGGAAAATTATCCAGAGCCATGTCTAGGTTTGTTTTTCTCTTTTCATGGATCCAGAAGGCACTAAGGTACTGCGTGGCCCATGTATGACCGCCCGCCCCCACATGCTTTATGCTCTTAACACTTGATAAGTTCACCGAGAAGGTATGCTACTTGCCACTCCTAGCTTTCAGCTTGTGCTAAATTATTCTGTAGTCAATAATGTGTATACATTCATATTTTTCCTGATCAATTGATGAAATAATACAATGCTTATGCCTTGTTAAAACCATCATCATGAAGATTCTGGGGAAAATATACATGGGCTTCCCCATGAGAGAAACTCCAAAATAATGAAGGGTATAGTATTGGGTCACTGTATATGGACAACACTTTCTACGTAGTCCATCCTTCGTGATACTCTGGTGGTAGCTCATCCTCGGAGACATTCCATCGACCCGGCTGCAGTCGTTCATTGAGCAACCTCACCAGTTCCTCTGTCGGCATATTCTCCCTACTCTCTGTGTGCAGTGGATTTGGCGGATGAGGTGGAGTTGTCGACTCGATCCGTACATCCATCCTTCTCTACGTCGGCTCTCTCTCTACCGGCCCTGAAGATGAAGAGGACTCTGCTCCGCTCGCACTCACGGTATGTCTAGCATGTTTCTTCTGGTTCATACGAGACTCTCGTGATATCTCAGAAGAAACTGGAATGGATGTGGCCATGAATAGTGTGAGCATTTGTGGGGAAAAGTTGTCCACAACAGAATGGTTCTTGTTGTTACTTCGATGACACTGTCTATGCAACAGTAAAATACCCACAGTTACAGCTGCAAGAACTGCTAGTCCACCGACAATTCCACCGGCTATTGCTCCAGCCAAACTCTTCCTTGTCGGCAGCAGCGAGGATGTGCTCGTACTTGGGCTAGGGGTAGCACTCGAAGTGGGAACATCACTCGATATCGACGATGCCTGGTCGTCTGCAAGCTGTATTGCACTGAGCAACAAGCTTATTGCTACAGTTTGGTTATCACTGGAGAACAATGTGCTTGGTGGTCCAGTCCAAGGTATTCCATAAATGTTACTACCGCCTGAAGTCGCCTGATTAATTGCAGCATTATACTGTGACAAAGTAAAATAAGCTATGTAAACTGAAGGAGTAGATTTTATGAGGACTCACCTGTACCCCGATGTATTCCTTAATATATTCTCGAAGATAGGAGCACGATCCTCCGTGATCTACACAAATTAGCGATGCATCATCAGAACAACAAAGACTCACCCATCCAATGCCACAGCCATACTCGCCTCGGACTCTGTATCTGTGTTCAGCTTTACCCCAGTGAACAGCGCACCTCTTGGTGACCACTCTGAGCACCTGAACCCACGCGCGATATCCCGGATCGTCAGTACTGACCAGATTCCTTTCGATACGGTTAGCAGCCACTGGTGTTGTCATCCCGGTATGAATTTGATTTCGGATATAGGCGAGCCAGTGACACTCGTCTCGCTCGATGGCATCAGAGGCGAGTCTGCGAGCCATTGAGATGCGAGTCGGTACGCATGGCACGTGCGCCGCTGAAGATCGGTGTCATCGATTGGAACGGGGTAATCATTGGAGAGGATATTGATTTTGAATGCGTTTGTCCAGACGATGTGTAGTCTTTTGAGTGCATTGAATCATTTACACACCTGTGTGGTCTCAGTAAGTTGACCAGTACCGGGTAGTCTCACCTGGCGGAAAACCAAGATATCTGGGACGGAGAGAAAAGCAAGAGTGTAGATCAGCACATCGTCAGGCAAGTTGAAGAGGATGCTGTTCATGGACGTTCGCGTCCAAGGCAAGTCCAAGGTAGCTGTGGGATCATGGGCCGAGTAATCCGGTGACTAAGCCATTCCCACAGTATCCCCGCAGTCCGGATACACCTGCCGAGAATTTTCGACGCTGCTCCCCTGCTTCACCACTTTCAAGAAGGAACAGTGACATCATGGGCATCCTCTTTACTATTTAGACCAACACTCCGCCATCATGTTAGTAACCCTTTCTCGCAGCTTTCCAAAAAGTGGACTCATGCTTGACTCTGCCCCATACTGTTTCCCGGGAGATCGGCCCAAACCCATGAGCCTGAAGGGAAAGCAGGGATCGGAATTGGCTGCGTTTCAGAGATATTGACTTTCTCATTCTTGATGGACTCTTGTTCTCCTTTCGAAGACCTTCACATGGAGAAGAAGAACTACTCCAGAACCGGCAAGTATATGCATCTCCATACATAATAATTATTTTGCTGTGACCGAGTCCTTGCTACTCTGAGTCCGCGAGTCCCATCTCATGACTAGAATTTGAGGACCACCACATATGTGTGGCAGATCCGAGTCCTATAGTACTCCATTTTTGTGTCCATCAAGCTCACAAACTTCCATTGGCGAAAGAAATCAGGACAAATTTCCAAAGCCCAATTATGGTCTATGGCAAAAAGCTAGTGTTCTCTCTCTTCGACCTGCCAAGTCAGTCCCATCATTCTGTTTATCCAGAATGACGAGGCTGATCTGGATGCACAAGAACGTCATGGCGAGCGAATGGTATAGAAATAGTGGCATTTCCTGCATGGACATTGAAGTCGACACAATCCTGATAACAGTAGCTAACATGGAAGTGGGAACAACCTGTTCATTCAACTCCATCGACATGTACTTTCTCACCAGATAGCCATGAAATAGCCTGATCAACAGCTCTGTATATGTTGGACCGGAGGGTCGGAGACATGGTCTTCTTGTCTCTGATGGTGTTTCCTATAGCCGCAGTGGCAAGTTAGCTGGAAAAATTGTGAAACATACTGAGAGCGGGAAATACAGCAGCTGTGTGATCGATGTAGATGTTAGGGGAGGTTCCGTGGCCATCATGCTTCGTTGACCCTTGATAGCGATTATAAGCTTTGCACTCATGTTGACCTCGAGCAGCCTGAGAGCTGCATTTAGCCTAATCAACATACATGTACATGACAAGAAGCAGAACAATTGATTAAACCATAGTCGAAGGATGTGAATCAGACTGGATGGACACCCATTGGCCTGAGACCTGGCAATAGACTGTCAGGAAAGTACTTCTGAGCTGCAGATTGTTCTAGGTTAAGCAATGAACTTCTTAGTCAATAACACGAGGAGGAAGTGTTGGTCTTAGTACCCGCAGGTTGGCACCAATGAATTGGGCTGTGACACTATCCCCAACTGCATATGAAGCCTTAATGTCAGTTAGGATATCACTGAAATGCTTCCCAATCAGCACGGCATTCTGACCTATCCCATTTCTCCGGTGCAGATTGACACTGCACAGAAGTTCCATCAATGCTAGAGGAAGAGTGACTGTTCCAGCCCTAGGAAATACTGTAATCAGGAATATATAGGACCACGGGGAGCACAGTTTGGGCCTTTGATCCTCACCTTGTTTACATGTGTTTAGATGCAATTAGGGCATTGCAGTGCATGTCGCTGTTTGAGAGGAAGACGATAACATTGACTAAAAATTCATATTGAATTGGCTGCGGTGAGGTCGTTGGTAGTCATGGTGATGGCCAACGACCAAGCTAGCATTGTTGGTTCTGCGATTGTTGGAAATCAGAGACCCGATCTCCATCCCGGCTTCCCACTCATACCCCTCTACTCCAACCTCATTCCAGCCTTCTCCTCCCCACACTACAGCCCTTCCATCTCCCAGCTATATCGTCTCTTCACTCTGAAAGTCCCCACCCCTCCTATTGCTGTTCTCCTTGTTCTGCATGTCATTGTTGGGTTGGCCCTCCATGCACCCTCTTGCTACGAGATGGAGGCCGATATCAAATCCCGGAGTAAATCCAGGGTTGTCCACATGCTCCGAAGCTGTCTTCAATAGCAATTCACCCCAATAGTGATGTTGGGGATGCCAGGTCTGTCGGGGGTGATAGTGGCAGTGGATAGTACAAGAAAGAGGACAAAGACCAAGAACGGGCTGGCTGAGTACCACGAATCTGAAAAAGGAAAGGAATTCACAGGACAATGATGAAGGTTGAAGAAAAGTTCCCATGACCTGGCCAGGGAGAATCCAACAGCAAATGCCGTGTTGGATGATCAAAAATTTCTTTTCAGGTTGGCATAATGACCGATATCTATATATACATATAGGACTCGGAACTCTCGCAAAATTGGACATATACATGAATTGTCAGATTAATTTGCTATCGTATCAGGTTGCTATCCAATACACATTGATATCATTCCACCACCTATGATGTATGGCCTAAAGATGTTGTGCGAAGATGAATAAGTACTGTGCCACTTCTCTTCTTGTGGTATCAGCCTTACCGCAATGAACTTGTTCAGGCCAGGAAGGAGAAACCGAGAGCAAAAAAAATAAAATGTAGGGTCACCAAGATATCTAAGCCATGTTGGATTTGAGAGAAGACACTCCTTTGTGTAAATCTGATTAGTCTCAGCCAAAAGCAAGGTCATGACTGCCACAAGGACCATGGCATCATTCTTGCCAATGCTGCAATGGTAAGCCATTCCCTGTTACTCTGTTCCTTTGACAGATGTGAAAGGTATCAGTGCTTTTTCAGACTTGATGCATCCTGAAAGTGATCTTGAAGGGTTGACCCCACTGAAACAGCATCCCACTTCGACAACCTTGAGGTGTTAGGAAATTGCCTGTTTGATGTGTCTTACAACCTCAACTACTATTTCCGATGAGTCGGAAGCAGCTAACATTATGACCGAGATCAGCCCCCGGGACTCACAGAAATTCAGACTCTCACTCGGGTCCCAGGTACACTGTAACAAGTGCAGGCCCAGTCTGAGAAAATTTGATCCGCCAAAATTCATAGCAACCAAATTTTTAGATTCAGCGACAGTGTAGATCTAGATCTCAGCATCGAAACACAGATATTGATGAGAGAATTATACAGTGTGGTCATATTCTACAAGTGGCACCAGGAGAATTGGGACTCGAGATAGCATGAAGCTACGTGACAAGTGGAGTCCAAGCACAAAATATTTCAATGATGGAGACAAACCCAGCCAATGAAAAATAGATGTTGGGACTGGTCATTGGCATGAATAAAGAGTGACAATCCTGAACATATAAAGGTAATTCACACATAGGTACTATGCACTCGGCATCTGTTTGGCCAAGTCTGTGACTTCAAGTCCAGATTCTCAGGAGCCAGACACATTATGGCTGTTGGAATCACTGCCCATTGAGTGTGGTGACCCTACAACACTGGATCCAGGACATGTTACTGCCGTGGTGGATACTAAAGCAAGCATGGAGACGGGGAGGTGGTCCTTCCGAGAAACGGATGTAAGCCAGCAGGCAATTTGTTGAGCTGTAAGCTGTTCAAGATCCCTTGGGAAATGGTTAGTAATGAAAGACGAGTCACAGATCCTACCTACATTTATGTGACAAAACGAGTCGAGTAAGCTGTTAGAACAAGCTCTGACATGTGTCAACAGGGTATACTTATGTTGCCCCACGATGTGCCATTTTGGAGCGAATACATGCAGAACATGCCCATCTCGAACAAGGACATGTTCACTATCAGTGTCACCATCCCCTGCCAGAAGGGCTACACAACATCAGGCAAAGATAAATGCTGGAGCTGTACACTCACAAACATGTGCTATCGCATGGGGAGGAACTTTCATTGTGGGTCCACATTCTCAGAGTCAGTGGGGTGGCCAGGGGCATGATGTGACATGGCAGTCTGCTGCCCGGTCTGCGGGCAGGCCTAATAGTCTGCAATTACTAATGGGGTCAATACCGGAGCATGATTTTTCATCACGTGAAACTCATGTGGACGACATTACTAAGCTCATAAATTCACGATGCATTCTTCAATGCTAGTCGACTGTCACTCCATACAGAGTATTCAGACGTGTTTTCTGGTATGTTTTGAGTTAAAGCACTCACATAACTAAATTTCAATAAGTACAATCATTATTCACTCTAAATTTGCTCATTAATTCCCCAAAATACCATTTATGTGTATGAAGCCAGATTTGCGTACTTGGGTATCACGAAATTCATCCAAAAGACTTCAGATTATCTCGGAGAATATCTCAAGTCCATTGAAAGGGAACCACAATGTATCTAGAGGGAATATTTCCTTTGATATTGGTATAAACCAACGATTCTGCATCTCTGTGCTGCAAAACCTGTCTTCAACTGAGCTCACATAGTACTAAATTTGGATGACTTGATCCTTTGGGCAATATATAGTTGCATAACCACGGATATACGAAGTAACAGCTGTTAAAAGACCTAACCCTACAAATTAATAAAAATGGACTATTAATAGTGATTTGTGGAGATATCTTTACTTCTAGTAAGTATTTAGCTGTTTTCCTGAGCACCACGATACATTTCCATGCCAATAAATGTGCTTTGCAGTCCTAAAAATGACGTCAGATAGTAATTTTTGCAAGGGTAGAGAGGGCAGGCAGTCACATGACAAATTTCCTTAAAAAGTATAACAGAAAACCAACCGTGCTCCAGTATCCAGGGCGTGTCTGCTAGCAGACTCTATTTCAAATCTCGACTGTCTTGATTTGGATAGAAGTCTGCCTAGGGGAGACTACAGGCCTAACCTTCCTACTATATCACCGGTACCACTTCGAAGATATTGTTACTGTCTCACATCCAGGAGAACAAATCTATCAATGTTCCTGAATATATACAGCATCCTGCTTGATGGACAGCACTGGGCTGAGATGGACCACCCCTTGAATGTCCTTGTGGGTCCTTGTTTGAGCTTTACATCAACCGTTTATTACCTTTCCAGGTCATGGTGTATGTTGGGTGTATGTGTTCTTCCAGCTTCGTGATTTATGGACTAGCATCGTGTTCTCAGACCTCATTCTTCCCTTCACCCCCACAATGGATCACTGTCTCCAATGCTGTCTAAATATTGCATTTTCTCCTTTTTTGTTGCTTTGGCGTTAAGCTAGGTAGAACAGGGCACTTTATAACTGTGAGTCCAATGATCTCAGTCCTCGTTAAAAAGTAGATTTTTATGTAGTAACGATGCTTTACCTCCGTACCATCAAATGGTATTCCTCTATGTGCACTACCCATGTTTATCAGTGTCCAAAGTGCACCTGTATGTGGAGCATATTGTATTGCTGTCCTGCATATTGTGTCGATAAGGGAGGACAACCGTCACTTTTTAAAGGTGCAAAATCTCTGTGTCAAAATTGCACCAGAAAATAATGATTCTGGCACTCGGTAAGACATCCCCTGCTGCTGATACCCATACCTTCTTACCATTCCACTTCAGAGCAATCTTCTCTTTCTTCCTGTTTCATGATCTCACCTGGCTTTTTACATCTCTGACACTCTATTTCTGTATTCGGTTCTCTGTCTCTCTTCAAGTCTGGATCTCTTTGCTGTCACTGCTTCCTTCGCGTATCTCTTTATGGTTAATGACTACCAGCCCTCCTGGAAATGCTCGATTCTGTAATGGCAAGTAAATTTTATCATCGCAGATCACCTCTCATTTATAAATAAAATGATAGACTCGTCACACTGAACGTCACCCTCTACATCCCTTAGGCATTTTCGCCAGTCAACTACCCTGAAGATATCTTGAATCTAAATTCCCGATACTATAGAATCGCACACCTCACTGCTATCCCTTAATGGTCTGTAAATGACGCATCACTTGCCTTGGCTCTTAGCTGCTGGTGTAAACCTGATCCTTGCTGCTTAATCTAACATCGTATGTCAACTAAGCTATTGCGTAGAAGGTGTAGAATACTATTTGCCACTAGATTGTAGACCCTTTTTAGTATACTAATCTTGTTGAAAGACACATATAATTATAATAATTCTTTTCCATGCACTGCTCAAAGATGATGTCAGTAGTCTCGGGCCCCAAAGCGCTGTGAACGTTCATTTTGTAATGAGCTACAGCTCGAGCGATCTACACAACCAGCACTATTTTTAGACCCGATCGCTCGATCGTTTCAGTTCCTCCCGTATTCAGTTCTTAATGACAACATTACATGTCTGCATTTTGACTAGAAATCAAACCTATCTCTTCGTCAAAGTTCACTAAGGTCCTATAAGCGAGGTCCGAGTGTTGCTGGTCGCGCATGAGATCAAGTTGCCACATTGAAAACGGACTGGCGAGAGCGGTGATTTGGGGCTTCGACGGAGCGGGAGTGACAAAAAGATAGGTCCCTTAGCCTATTGGCAGTCAGATTTTGCTCAGCTTTTGCTACTGGGTGTTCTACTGGCTCCGCTGCTCTTCATCAAAATTGAATGTTACCATCACAATGACATGCGATGTGCTTAGTCTTTTTACCAAATTAGGAACGAGAGTGCCCTGTTCACACATCAGCACTGATCCTCTCACGTTGAAGTGCTACACACCATTGACAGCTTTCTTCATCCACAGAAAAATCACGCTGTTAAGGATTAAACACCCACTGTTTATTTCATCGCGATGAGAAAAACGAAGCTGGTCTGTAGGTCCGAAGAAAATTTCTGCCACCTACCATCATATAACCCGATGACCAATATGGACAAAGTACCACTGTATTTGTGGGGTAGATAGCACACCGCTCGTAACAAAATGACTCATTGACGCTGTGACATCGTGAAGCAACCTTCATAGCCAGGAACAGCATCAGGGCTCAAAGTGCCATGCCATCTTCAGCTAAATTACCGTCAGCATTCCTGATAAGGTACCCCCGATAGAGCCACTTTCCTCGATCGCCATCAACCTAGATAAGGTATAGGTAAATGTTAGCGAATTTGACAAGACCTTGGCAACATATGTAGTCCTTAGAGGGACTGATGAAGCTGTCACATGGGCGAACCCTGCTGACAAGATTGAATTCTCCCCATGTTGAATGTCCCTGGGCAACGACATCAATATGGGGTAAATAATAGGGTTCATTGACTGTACCTCGCCTGTTATGATGACTCTGTCACAGACGAGTCTCTGTTCCTCTGGCTGAAGGCGATGTGCTCTCTGGTAATAAAGAGGCTCGTTTCTACCAGGTTCGCGAACTTCAAGTCCATCGTGATCCTCTTTGATATGAATTCCAGTTGGAAATGGGTCATGTAATGAAAGTACGACTAAAACTGAAGCAGGAACCCGACTGATACCCGAGCGAGAGGATGTGACCGGCTGCTAGAAAGCCATGGCTTTGTCTGTGGTAACCTAAGCCCTTTCTGATCCTGTCCGAGTCTGAGATAAGGAGGTTCAATAAGAGATCGAGCGAGATGATACAAAAAGGTGTTGCTTTTGATCGCGAATCCTTCGACCAGGACTCAAACCCAGGTGAGCAACGTAGGATAATACCACATCATCACGACACAGTGGTTGGATTTAGGGTTGCGCAATGTATAAAAAGGAGGTTTTGGAAAAAAATTGCAATTGCAATTGCGACACGTCGAGTCATGTGGTTTTAGCACGGGATAAGTAAAATATCATATCAAAACACTGCCCTCAGTGTCACTACAAAACCGTAATTTACCTACCTGAAGGTTTCATGCAGAGTACTAGTTTTTTTGTATCAATGATACCAAAGATATTTTACTGGCCGACAATCCTCTGACCGGGACTCGAACCCAGAAAAGCAGCGCAGAACACACAATAACACCACAACGTCACGAAGATTTATGTGAAGACTGGTTTTGCAGTTTTATTTATAGCGGAAACAAGCCACCTTTAAGTAACTGCTCAGCTGGCCAATCAGAACCCACTATAGAGATCGTATTTTCATTACTAGGCTATTTGCCTTTCAAATTTTCGGTCACTTGCACGAAGAATGAGTATGCAGAATCAAGCTTAGGCTCATGTGCAAGGAAGAAAAAGATTACAATAAAATTTAACCCTTCCAAACAGATCCGAACCCTAGTTTTGTTAGCGTATCCAGCACGTCATGAAGGACACGTATTTTGACTACAACTGGACAATCGTAATCTTCCCAAACCCCGACCCAAGGGCGATTCTCCCGAGTTCTTTGTTGTAATCCAACGCCATCCAGTTATTCAACGGGTTCGAGCACACCTCGTGAACACAGGGTTGAGCAGTGGGGTTAAGCGGGCTTGGGAATATGGCCACCATGAGCGTCTCACAGCCACCGTGTTCTTCCCAGTGGGAGACCATCGCATGATCATGGGGGCGTATCCATACTGCGGTTCCACGTTTCCCAAGGATGACGTCTGTGCATCAAAGAGCACCGTGCCAGGAGGATATTTTGCTGGTGAGGGTTGGCAGGAAGGAAGAAAGGGAATAGAGTTCGAACGAGTTAAGCTCTGATGTCCAGGGGTTATCGCTCTCAGAACGGATGAGGATGGAGGTTGGTGTTGCACTGGTGCCATCGACCCAGCCGAAGGAGTGGGAGGCAATGGGAGAGTGTGTTTGCCCATGTAGGAAGGGTATGTTAAAGTACAGGTTGATGGAGCGTGCACAGATGACGAGAATGTTTGGAGAGGTGAAGACGATTTGGATACAGTGGTCATACTGTGAGCACAGATGAATAAGCAAGAATTAGATCAGCTAGCAATGGTTACCTGCATGTCACCTCCTTCATCCAGGTAGGCCTGTTCGTTATTCTTCCAGTTGTAGATCAATGTCTTGGAGAAGTTGTCACTGAGGGCTACGATATCACCAGTCAGGGTGACAGGCCTGAAGTCGATGTCGAAGGAGCGAATTTCATGCAGCCTTCCATCGTTGTCCAGATGCAGGAGCACGATCCTCTGTGATCTACACAAGTTAGCGATGGGACATCAGAACAACAAGCACTCACCCATCCAACGCCACAGCCATACTAGTCTCGGACTCTGTATCCACGTTCAGCTTCACCCCAGTGAACAGTGCGCCTCTTGGCGACCACTCTGAGGACTTGTGCCCCCACGCGATATCCCATATTGTCAGTACCAACCAGATTCCTTTCAATACGGTCAGCAACCACTTGTGCTGTCGGCCTGGTATGAATTTGACTTCGGATACAGGCGACCCGGTGAAACTTGTCTCACTCGTCGGCATCAGAGGAGAGTCTGCAAGCCATCGAGAAGTGAGTCAGTATGTGTGAAGCATGTGTTGCTCAAGATCTGTGTCATCGATGGGAGTGGGGTAGTCATTGGAGAGGATATTGAGTTTGAATGCGTTTGTCCAGATGATGTGTAATCTTGTGAGCGCGTTGAACCATTTGCATGTCTGTCATTATTAGCAGCTAGGATCATTGGGTCAGGAAATACTCACTTGTCGGAGGAGGATGATGTCAGGAACGGGAAGAAACACGATAATGTAGATCAGTACATCATCAGGTAAGTTGTATGGTGTGTCATTCATGGACGTTGCAGTCCAAGGTAACTGTGCGGTTACGGGCTGAATAAACCAGTGACTAAGCCATTCCCACCACTTGCCTACGGCATTTCCGGAAATTCTGATTTCTTCCTGCTACACCCACCGAGGAAAGAACCAATGGTCGGTACTGCAATAGTCGCACCGTGGAGACCGATGTTGTGTGCGACTCACCCTTGCTTCACTCTTTTGAAAAAAAGAACAGCGACATCATAGGTGCCCAGCCCATGTTCATACTAAACGATTACCAGCCCTTTCTCACAGCTTTCCAAACAACAGATTCATGCTTGACCGCGCACGCAGATAAGATCTTCCTCTTTTATTTAGATGAGAAAATAAACAATGTGGCTTCCGTGGCTTGCAGCATAAAAAGCTTCTTATGCGAGCTCAAACCGTGGCAAGAGAACTTACCACTAAGTACCTCAATAGCTCCTATGGTACGAGAACTCAATTAAATGAATGTATACGCTCCCTTCTTTCACGCTTCACTCGACTACCAACAGAATTGTATCTCAAGGCGATCTAGTAAAAATGGTCGAACGTCAGCTCTGGTCCGGAGCCAAATAGTATATGTTCTTCTAACATGCCTCCCTCGCTGAAACTTTATCACACCGGCTCACTATTGCTGTGCGGGCACCATTCACCAGTGTCCAAAGCCAAAAATCAAGGAAATAGCATAAAATGCACCAGGGGTGAATCGAGCCCTACTTAAAAGTTTACCATTGTGCCGTGTGAGGGATATCGATTCATTACTCATGAAAAAAAGCAGGTCTTACTCCAAGAGTTAAGATTTTGTCGGCTAACTAAAGGGTGATAAATCTATGGGACCAGATGTACGGATAAATATCTTATGGGCAAAGAAGCATATGTTCAATACAATGGGTGTATATTGTGAGATGGGAGGAAAGGGAACGTTAAGAGAGCCTGTAAATATCATCAGAAAGACGGAAGCTGAACATAGGTATCAGGTGAACCACAGGGTTTCTACGTTTTTGGAATAAAGTCGATTTTTGGGGTATGCCTTACCGCGATATTGTGGGGATATTCCAGCCTCACCATCGGTCCTTTCAATGTCAATGAAGCAGAACGTGGGATGGTATATATCGAGGAACCTGCAAACATAAGCTGGAAAAAGTGCTGACGATAGAATACAAATAGATTACCATATGGCAAAAACCTGCAGGGAACGCAAGTATTAGTAATAATAAACAGAGTGACTGACGAGGAACTTGACTCTGCAGAAATAGGATGGGGTAGAATTTATGATAGAATTGCCTGGCCTAGGATGGTAACCGCGCCTGAATGGCTGGGAAACTGTGAACACCAAATAGCTTAGAACTCATGGATATGTGCAAAGAGGCGCAGAGAGCACCAATGGATATAGATTCGTACATTTTGGAAAATTCAGCAGTCATGGAATACGTAGCGAGCCCCTGCGATGAATATTAATAGACGGATTCAATCTTTAAGTATATCTCGGAGCTGGGTCTAAAATACCTTTCCATGAGAAATCGGAGGGTAAGATTGGAAGGGTTGATCTTCTCGAATGTGAGCGTGAAGGTTGGAAATACGAAGCGAAAAAAAGAAGCTGAACAGATCGTGGACAGCACTAAGCTTCTGGCATGTCATCCTTGTTGTAAGCATCATTCGCCTTCGAAGTTACTCATGCGCGTTCATCTCTTGGCGCATCTCAGTTTTAAAGTACGTGATGGGGATATATCGAACAAAAGTCCCAGGCAAAGTAATCATATCAGGTTCTTTACGTCCATGTAATTTAAGCACACGCACCCATTTTTCGCAAAGTACTTAGTCTAGTTGGACCAGCAGATGCACACAGAGTTCCGTCCTTTCCCTCAGATTCCTCTGGTTGTTACTCCCAATTTTCTAGGAAGGGTGACATTGAATTGGTGTCCTGAACGCGATCCTGTATACTAGAACGTACCACGCCAGTAAATGCTCCACCAACTACTAATCAGAATACCTTCAGACAACCCCATACTTCTTGTCCCTTACGACTACATGAAGCTAAATCATCTTTTTGTTTCAAATTGAAATCCACAAGAGAGGGAATGTAAGAGGTGCCAGTGACAGATGTAGTTGGAATACTCATCGCAGAGGATTTTGAGCCTGAACGCCTTTATCTATCTGTTGTGAGTGGATTGACCCATTTACACGTCTGTAATCTTAGTTAACCAGGATCTTAGGATTAGAAATCGCCTCACCATGCAGAGGAGAAGGATGGATGTCCTCCCAGGTTGTATCCTCATCGGTGTTTATTCGTATGCAAGGTCTGCTTGTTCCATTGATTGTCGAACGAGAAACGGGTCGAAGAAGATCATTGGGCACAGCCACCAGTAATCTAAGTCTGTTTCGGTCTTTCCCACGTTTTGATTCGATTGTTTACCTTCTCCACTCTCCTGTCGCATAGGGTGCACAGATAATAGTGCCTTTCCCTTTTTTTACATTCGTGCTGAATTATTCCACGATGAGCACTGCCATTCTTGGGAGTATGAGTCCGACTCCAGGTCTGTGATTTTGATTCCGCTCAGCACGCAATGATGGACACATGGTCTCGGGTCACTGCGTTATAAAGCCTGTTACCATCGCATCCACTGGGAAGTATAAAGTGAATAACCCCACTTCGTGTATCTCACCAATTTTTGCTTAACAAATGACCTTTGCGACCTTTTCATACCATTGAAATGCTCAAGAAATTATTTAATTCAACAAAAATGATGTTAATGATACCAAAATTGTTCAGGAGTGGCGGTTGTACTAATCTGGAGTATTCGCTAGGCTAACGTGTCGAGGCCATGTTCTATGGACATTTGATTGTACCTATGATGTGTCAACCACGCTGACGACCACACAGCCATGTTCCACACGACCATGTAGCTATGCAGCCAACCACACAAAAATCCTCTTTCCCGGTCTTAGAGCTGCTGGCGACGGAGCTACTGCTGCTAGCACCTGGAGTGCTCAAGCCAGTATGACCCGGAGAGGGGGAGGATGGAGCCTGTGGATTGGCATCTGGAGTCGAAGGCCATGTGATATCCACTGGTGGAAGAGTGTTGTTGGAAGGTGCAGCATCCGGGGCGTGAGGTACATCTGGCTCTGAAGACATAGTACGATGTTGACATCCACCCCGCTTCCTGGCTGCCCAATTATTCCATCTTGCATAGCTGTCGAGCAGGGGGACAGGTGGTGGGTGGGAGTGGGGTCCAGGGCAGCAGTCCTTCTGCCATGTCTTGATGCATGCATTCCAATCCTTGCATCGGTAGAATTCAGGCCGGAAGCGATATGTGTCGATTTGCTCCTGGCAAGACTCCCTGAAAGAGAACCTTTTGAGATATGGGCACCCAGCATCAAAGAACGAAGTATCTCACCAGGAAGTGTAAATGCCGGGCTTGATGCCTTTTTTGACGATGTATAGTCGAAGCTCTTCCATGGCGCAAGATGCATGGATTTCATCGGGATAGAAGGGAGGATTGCAGTACCCATGGCGCTGCAGAACATTTTCCGGGTTGGCAAATAGTTGAGAATTGTTCCGGTCACTCGCCATTGATGAGGAGGGTGTGTCAAAGACGAGGAAGAGGGGAGTAACGAACTGAAAGAAAGATGTTCACTATAAGAATGGCTATTCAAAGCGACCGATTGGAGATTTTGACATCTTCTAGCATGTATCATCAGTCAATCAAAGGATGCGACACTGAGGACTGCGCTAAACGATGAAACATCAAGTGAAGTCTTCCTTGACAGATCGACCGTGTTGCCATCAAGTTATAGTGATGATGGATCGAGCGGTTCACATGATTCTTCCACTGCTTGTGTACACATATCTGCAGAGCTGAATAGATGAAGAAATACCCGTGTCCAGTGGATAACTGCGATAGCAGTGCCAGCAGCCATGGTGATGATAGATACAGTCAGTGGTCGATGAGTTTATGGCTTGGCATAGATCTTTCTGGCCCACGAATGTATAGCTTGAAGATAAAATGTCTCCGAGTCCCTGACATGTCGCTCAGTATACGTGATGGGATTCCAAAGGCAATGACATGTTCCTGGGTCTAGATGATGTTCAACATGGGTGCAGAATGTAACCACATAAATGGCCATTATATGTGGCACATTGTGGGTACTATTGAGACACAAGGTACATGCACCCAATTTCAAAACTACGATTCCATTATGATAGACATCTTCTGAGCTGCCTGCAGCACACAAGGAGGGGCCCAATGCTCAGGCTGCAGTATATAATTGATCATAGGCAGGATAATCAATTATACTCTGCTGTGATTAGAGTACTTATTACAATACACATCGTCTACTAGTATAATATTATTAATGTCTGATCTTTGGATCCTGATGGTGGGTATGTCTACTTGGTACATTACATTCAACTTGAAGGATGAGAATTTCGATGTTATGCGTGTTTTTTCTTCTTCCCTGCTGTCCGCAATTAATACCTGTCTGACTTTTGGTAGGCAAGTCAGAGTCTGGTAAGATTTAGCTGCAGGACGCCTTCGTGGCGTAGTGGATACAAGTTATGCCTTGGGTTCAAATCCCAGCAGAGATATGTAATGACAGTAGCTTCCGTTTTATTACTCACATCATGATCAAGTTTACAAATCACTCTTCTTCCCAGGTAAGTATCGTAGGATGCCGAGGGACCTGTACCGCTGAATGAGACTTTGTCGACACAGTATACAATATCAAAATCAAACTTTTCCCTGAGCGATAACCGACAGTCGTATGAACGTTGCATGTCAGAAGCTTGAGCGCAGTAGTTAATCCTGCGGCCCTAATTCTGGCGACGATCTACTACTGATCCCGGCATGGATACCATTCCCGAATCTCACCTACCCACCAGAATTGAGTGGAAATGCTTGCTTGTCTTTCTCTATCTCGGAATCAGACTGTTCACCCTCCTAAAAAAAAGGATGCGAATATCTGGGGATAGCCCTCTGTGGAATTGAACCACGGAAAGCTGGAGTACATATTGAGCTACATGTACCTGGGATGAAAGAGTGAATGGGAACCTGAATAGCGTACGTAGGAACTCCTTGAAGAAGCCAAAAGGCCAGAAACAGGATGAGTATAACAGAAGCGAGATCGCCTCCAACATGGTAACGCTCGACTTTTATTTCTGCGCAGGAAGAAAAAAAAAATCCGCAAGATACAAGACTCCTTTGGAAGGGATTCGAACCCCTGATATATGGTAGTGGAAGCGACGTAGCCAATACACCACGAAGGGTATATAAAACCCAGACCCTTCCAAGTTCTTCACGCCGCCATGAGTTGACCCGGGAATAGGACTGCGATTGGTGCTTTGCCGCTGTCATGCTCCTCCCATGGCACGAATGTGTGAATGGATGCATACTGCCGTTCTCTACCTGCCAAGAACAATATCAGGGTATTAGAGCGCAGGACAACGGGATACTGTCTTGCTGGAGGAGGGTGTATAGGCAGGCATGTTCATTCATAATGCATGACGGGATAATTTAGAGCTCGCACGAGAGGCTCCAGTGTTGTCATTCTCGGACTAGATGAGGATGGAGAGAGCGCCATTGGGTGCGGATGAAGGAGCACTGACGCCATCGAAGTGGTGGGGTATCGTAGACGTGGAGGTCGGGGCAAAGACGACTGGTCAGGGAGAGCGCAGCGTAGAGGTTGATGGAGGCGCATTCAGAGGGCTAGGATGGTGTGTGCGGTGAAGATGGCTTGGATGTAGCGGTCGTACTGTGGGCACAAGATATGATTAAGCGTGATTAGAAGAGCTAGAGTATGCTTACCTGCACATCGCTTAAGCCTCGCGCGTGCTGGTCTCCCAAGGATGTCGACGGCGAGGCCAGATACTGTAGTTGTTATAGTGGATTTTGTGCATAGTTCACAAGTTGTCGAAATACAATCCCCGAGTTACCTGAAACCTAAATAAGTTATCCGTTGTTCATCAGAGCAAAGAGTGCTTACCCATGCAACGATACCGCCACACTCGACTAGTCCACGCAATATCCCAGACCGTCAGGGTTGACCTCGTACGCATAGCATCCAGTTGTGGATGCCGTCCCTGTCCTCGACAGCAAGCGAGTCGGAGAATCTAGAGTAGTTGGAGACCGTATACTGGGTAGTCAGCAGAACGAACACCAAAGCGTGGATGCGTTCATGTAGCCTTGTGAGCTGTTCGCATTCAGTAAGCAGGGATCATATACCAATGACGTACTCAGCGGACTCGGTGGAGGATAGGTACCTGCGTATCATCTCCTTCATCGAGGTAGCCATTTTCACAGGCCTTTCAGATGTAGGACAACATTTTGGAGGGGTTGTCGCTGGGAGCTAAGTCGTCGGCTGTGAGGTTGACTGGGCGCAGGTCAAAGTTGATGGAGTGGATTTCATCCAGGGTTCCCGTTGTCGTCCAGATGCAGGAGTATAGCCTACATAAGTTAGCCGTCGTTGACATCCATCCAAGATATTTAGGTTCTGTGTTGAGTGAACAACGTGCTTCTCCGGAACCACTCTGAGGATTGGTATCCACGTCTGATAACGCAGACCATGAGGACAGACCAGATTTCTCTTAGAAACAGCTAGAAGACGGTAGAATTGGAATATGGGGATTATGGTGAAGATAGTCTCAGGGAGAGGAGAGCCAGCGGGGGGGGGGGGGGGGTGGATCGGTAGGCATGGCACGTGTGGTGCTCGAGATCGGCTTCATCGCAGGAATACGGTTAGTCGTTGGAGAGGATGTCGAGTTTGGAAGCGTTCGTCCATATGATGTAGAGTCCTGTGAGCATGTGGAAACATTTGCGCGTCTGGGTTCTCACTGTCAGTGGCGCATGCCGGGAAGCGGGGGGAGTCTTACCTGGCGTAGTCATTTTTCTTCGCCATCATCGCGTCATCCATCAAGCCCACTCAATCAAACAGAGCATTAACCTCATCACTATTGACCCTGTCCCTTCGTCCCTTCCTATACCACCTACAACGTGATGATTCTTCGTCACGAGGATATACACCTGCGAGGACCAAGGAACGTGAAAAGGAACGTCGATATATAGCTCTGTGACAAGATCCGGTTGATGTTTATCATCTTGGGGAAGGATGTTCCATGTTTTATGCTGGTCTTGAATAAATGCTGGGGAGCGTTAAGTAATCTAAAAATAAAATCAGTTATCATGTTGCCAGAAGCGTACCAATATAGCTCACATCACTAGATTGATTTTATCTCGATCAGATGTCCTTCTTGCCAACTTGGAGCTACAATCTGAGGAAGAAGGGGATCGCGCGTCTCCGCTCAGTGAGGGAAACAAGCAAAGACCGGAATTATGAAATAACACCAATCAAATGCTCATGTGAGGTACAGATGTCAATTTCCAATTCTTCCACCCTCTCTTGTCGTGCAATATTTCAAGGAATTGCTCCTGCAAAAGTCTTCAATTGATGACTGATCTACCCGACATTCCAACTCTCACCATAAATGCAGGATCCCATGCATTCTTCCGATCTGGATTTTTAAGGCTGTTCATCAACATTGTTCAGGCCATCGTTACTCGTTAGATTCATCTACCTTACGCATGGCTGATTGTACCACCCAAATCCAGCCCCTTGACCAAGCTAAAAATACCATACACGAAGACTCTTACCCTCTGCCAGCCGCCGCGTTGGAGGTGCCGTCCATCTCCTCGGTCTCCCTTTCGTTCATCGCCACTCTCTCCTCATTGGAAACCATATGTTTTTATCTCCAGTTTGTGTAGGTCCACGGGTATTCATCATCAAAATTGACTTCCGAGAACATCTGAGGATTGTTTTGAGCGACCGGAAGAGATACTATCGCGCTTCAGGGAACGGACGTGTACCCTTACCGCCAACCACGCTCCTTCCCATGAGATCGGCCTGAACCGATGAGTCTGAAGGGAAAGCAGGGATTGGAATTTGGCCGCATTTCAGAGATATCGACTTTCTCATTCTGGATGGACTCTTGTTCTCCTTTCGAGGACTTTCACATGGAGAAGAAGAAATACCCAAGAACCGGCGAGTATATGCATCTCCATATATATTAATTATTTCGCTGCGACCAAGTCCTTGCTACTCCGAGTCTGCGAGTCGCATCTCATGACTCTCGCAAAATTGGACATATACATGAATTGTCATCGGATTAATTTGCTATCACATCAGGTTGCTATCCAATACACGTTGATATCATTCCACCACCTACGAGGTGTGGCCCGTGGATGTTGCGCGAAGATGAATAAGTACTGTGCCACTTCTGTTCTTGTGGTGTCAGCCTTACCTGAAATGAACTTGCTCAGGCCAGGAAGGAGAAACCGAGAGCAAAAAAATAAAATGTAGGGTTGCCAAGATATCTAAACGACGTCGGATTCGAGAGAAGATACTCCTTTGTGTAAATCGGATTAGTCTCAGCCAAAAGCAGGGTCATGACTGCCGCAAGGACCATGGCATCATTCTCGCCAATGCTGCAATGGTAAGCCATTCCTCGTTACTCTGTTCCTTTGACAGATGTGAAAGGTATCAGTGCTTTTTCAGACTTGACGCATCCTGAAAGTGATCTTGAAGGGTTGACCCCACTGAAACGGCGTTGTGCTTCGATGACCTCGAGGTGTTAGGAAATCGCCTGTTTGATGTGTCTTACGACATCAACTACTATTTCCGATGAGTCGGAAGCAGCTAACATTATGACCGAGATCAGCCCCCGGGACTCACAGAAATTCAGACTCTCACTCGGGTCCCAGGTACACTGTAACAAGTGCAGGCCCAGTCTGAGAAAATTTGATCCGCCAAAATTCATAGCAACCAAATTTTTAGATTCAGCGACAGTGTAGATCTAGATCTCAGCATCGAAACACAGATATTGATGAGAGAATTATACAGTGTGATCTTATTCTACAAGTAGCGCCAGGAGAACTGGGACTCAGGATAGCATGAAGCTACGCGACAAGTGGAGTCCAAGCACAAATTACTTGAATGATGAAAAGACGAACCCAGCCGATAAAAAATAGATGTTGGGACTGGTCATTGGCATGAATAAAGAGTGGCAATCCTGAATGTATAAAGGTAATTCACACATAGGCACTATGCACTCGGCGTCCATTTGGCCAAGTCTGCGACTTCAACTCCAGATTCTCAGGAGCCAGACACATCATCGCTGCTGGAATCACCCCCTGTTGGGTGTGGTGACCCTACAACACTGGATCCAGGACATGTTACTGCCGTGGTGTATACTAAAGCAATCATGGAGATGGGGAGGCGGTTCTTCCGAGAAACAGATGTAAGCCAGCAGGCGATTTGTCTAGCTATAAGCTGTTCAGATCTCCTGGGAAAAAGTCGGTAATGAAAGACGAGTCACGGATCCTACCTACATTTATGTGACAAAACGAGTCGAGTAAGCTGTTAGAACAAGCTCTGACATGTATCGACAGGGTATAGAGTAATCATAGCAAGTCGGATGGAAATCCAAATAAGCTTGTTTTGGTCTGGAAAGACGCTCTTAAGACACATCATATTCGCTTCCCAGTGCAATTATCATTTGGACTCTTCTATTAATTTACAACTGTCAATAGCCAGGTGGTGACCAGAGTTGTTGAGCAATGAACGCACCTATCTCGATAAGGGCTATGCCGTATATTTGCATCCCTAACGATCATGAATATCGTTACACACAACATAAATCGACAAAGTATGCGTGCTGTTCATGCCCTCACTGATAATCTATACTGTTACATGACGAGGCGGTCGATTCAAGGTCCAATATCCGAGGGGCGGATGACCGAACATGAGAACAAGGCTCCACAGTTGTCTGAATTCGGCAAAAATACGCACCCGTGGGTGTGTCACCCACGGTCCATTTTCGCGTTTTCTTTCGTGCGTACAGCACCTTTAATAATGAACAGAAACTCCGATTTAAGATGGGGTTCCGCCCGCAGATACCATCGTTCCTCGCCTCCACGTGGTTGTCACAGGTCATGATCATTTTAGCAACCGAGCTGAGAAAGAGACTGCTTCGAGATGCTGTATTCCGGTGACCAAAGAAGTTTCAACGGGCGGTGTGCCCGTCCCCCGAGATATCTGATGTCACAGATGTTAGAATATGGATTGCTATTTTTAGAAGAGTGAGCTTGCATGAATATTCTCGCTCGTTCTCCCCATATTCCCCGGGATGCTTACTCACTTTATTAGTGATACGTTACTCATTTATTCTAGTACATTCTACATATTCTGGTAGTATAAAAGCTGTGTAGTTAGTAGGGCATCGCTAGCGCGATTGCCGTGAACATTAGTTCCTTTGTGCTTACCTGTGAACCGCGAGTTCTTACACAACAGAACCTAATAGCATTTTGAGCATAGTCGAAGACTAGACCTGCAGAATAGAGCAACATGTGTGCGTAGCAATGTCAAGTTTGAAATCATAAGCACAGGACAACGAGGATGATCAACAATATACAATATAGGCTACAAAAGAGGAAGTAATATGATGCAAACTCATCTATGCCAAGAAAGAACATATGAAGAAATAGGTGTAAGATCATGAAGTCATGAAGTAGGCAAGGACGTCGGATCCTCCATGTAAGGAGTCATCCTCAGATATTGATGTAGCATCACTGGAATCAGACCACCCCAACGAATACCGTGTATTCGAAAGCCGATAAGGCTCGTACTGGTGTTCTTGTCGGTGCCGGGAAGTACGGGCAAGTGTCACTGCGTTGATAAATACACTGGCCACATCTTTATCGCTGCCACGCTCAGTATCCCAATGCTCCTCGCATTTACTAGGGAGGGGTAACCGTGTCTTTCGGGTGGTTGCTCAACGATGCCAGTTTCAAATAATGCCTGAGTGATGATTGATGCTTAAATGAATATCAAGGAGGAGTGGTCACTCGGGAAAGGGGATGTATGCCAATAAACAATGGTCAACCCTTTCTTGGATGACGTTCTTAATTGTCTAAGGATTTTGATTGCGTACTCGCATTAAAGACTCGAGTATATCCATCATCGGGTCTAGAGAATCCCAGTGATTTTTTCTGGTGTGCGCCAATCGCTCTGGATCATGTTCGTAAGAGAGGTCTCTCAGGAGCTGAAGAGTCCTGGTCTCAAAGTGCACTTTGCCGTCAGAAATTTTCATATTGGAGAAGCTGAACTGAGGGAAGCCTATGAGTAAATTGTCCTTCTGTAGCTCTTGAAATATGTTGTACGCCTTGAATAAACCTTTTATCAATATGCATTGCAATGCTGACAAGCGCATGCATACCAATGCACGGTCACGAAACTCAACATAACGGCCACCCTTTGGTTCCATGACAATTCCAACAACTTCGTCATCACGAACTAGATGGCCTAGTACCTTGAAATGTAGGTCCAAGTTACGCTGCCGCAAAGCATCAAGGGAGACTATGGTCCTCTGCACGAACCTCAGATAGCGATCTTCGTGCCCATACCAGATTTCTACAAAGAGTCTTCAGCAGTTGTAGTCACAAAATAATGTCCAACTGACCGACGTCTGTGTTGTTCCACCTTCCTCTCCGATTCATGTCATATATCCACTCGGTAATTTCAATTTCACGCTCATCGATAAGGCGCTCCCAGGTCGGATGAGTAACTTTAAAAGGTTGTGGGTCGTAATGGTGTCGGTACCAGACAATGTCCATTCCTTCGAAGGACCAAGAAAACCGTTGAGCTTTGCTCGAAATCAATGGTGCTGATAAGAGTTTCCTGTGATATCGTCAGAATACAAAGCAACATCTTTGATCATTGACTTACAATTAAGCCAACGAAGTGGTGGACTTCAAGCTCATGCTCTGACTTATGTTGCCCCACAATGTGCCGTTTTGGAGCGAATACGTGCAGAACATGCCCATCTCGAACAATGACATGTTCACTATCATTGTCGCCATCCCCTGCCAGAAACGCTACACAACATCAGGCAAAGATAAACGCTGGATCTGTACACTTACAAATGTGTGCTATCGCATGGGGAGGAACTTTGATCGTGGTTCCATGTTCTCAGAGTCAGTGGGATGGCCAGGGACAACACTTCAAAGATGTTGTTACTGTCTCACATCCAGGAGAACAAATCTATCAATGTTCCTGAATATATACAGCATCCTGCTTGATGGACAACGCCGGGCTGAGATGAACCACCCCTTGAATGTCCATGTGGGTCCTTGTTTGAGCTTTACATCAACAGTTTATTGCCTTTCCAGGTCGTAGTGTATGTTGGGTGTATGTGTTCTTCCAGCTTCATGATTTATGGACTAGCATCGTGTTCTCAGACCTCATTCTTCCCTTCACCCCCACAATGGATCACTGTCTCCAATGCTGTCTAAATATTGCATTTTCTCCTTTTCTGTTTTTTTTGGCGTCAAGCAAGGTAGAACAGGGCGCCTTATATCTGTGAGTCCAATGATCTTAGTCCTCGTTAAAAGTAGATTTTTAGGTAGTAGCGATGCTTCACCTCCGTACCATCGAATGGTATTCCTCTATGTGCACTACCTATGTTTATCAGTGTCCGAAGTGCACCTGCACATGGAGTATGCTGTCTCGCTGTCCTGCAAATTGTGTCGATAATGGAGGACAAGCATCCATCATTAAGGGTGCAAAATCTCTGTGTAACAGTTGCGCTGGAAGATAATGATTCTGGAACTCGGTAAGGCATCCATTCTGCTGATCCTCACAGCTCCTTACTGTTCTACTTCAGAGCAATATTCTCTTTCTTCCTGTTTCATGATCTCACCTGGCTTTTTACATCTCTGACACTCTATGTCTTTGGTTCTCCTGTCTCTCTTCAAGTTCTTCTGGATCTCTTTGCTGTCACTGCTTCTTTCACATATCTCTTCATGGTTAATGACTGCCCGCCCTCCTGGAAATGCCGATAACTATTCTGTAATGGCAAGTGAATTTTATCATTGCAGATCACCTCTCATTTATTAATAAAATGACAGACTCGCCACACTGAACATCACCCTCTACATCCCTTAGGCATTTTCGCCAGTCAACTACCCTGAAGATATCTTGAATCTAAATTCCCGATACTATAGAATCGCACACCTCACTGCTACCCCTTAATGGTCTGTAAATGACACATCACTTGCCTTGGCTCTTAGCTGCTAGTGTAAACCTAATCCTTGCTGCTTAATCTAACATCGTATGTCAACTAAGCTATTATGTAGAAGATGTAGAATACCGTTTGCCAGTAGATTCTAGACCCTTTTTAGTATACTAATTTTGTTGAAAGAGACTTATAATAATAATAATTCTTTCCACGCGCTGCTCAAAGATGATGTCAGTAGTCTCGGGCCCCAAAGCGCTGTGAACGTTCATTTTGTAATGAGCTACAACTCGAGCGATCTACACAACCAGCACTATTTTTAGTCATGATCGCTCGATCGTTTCAGTTCCTCCCGTATTCAGTTCTTAATGACAACATTACATGTCTGCAATTCGACTAGAAATCAAAACCTATCTCTTCGTCAAAGTTCACTAAGGTCCTATAAGCGAGGTCCGAGTGTCGCTGGTCGTGCATGACATCAAGTTGCCACATTGAAAACAGACTGGCGAGAGCAGTGAATTTAGGCTTCGACGGAGCGGGAGTCACAAAAAGATAGGTCCTTTAGCCTATTGGCAGTCAGAGTTTGCTCAGCTTTTGCTACTGGCTGTTCTACTGACTCCGCCGCTCTTCATCAAAATTGAATGTTACCATTACATGCAATGGTAACTAGGGATGTCCACCGTATCCGTATACGGGTACGGCCGTAAAGTGTACGGGCACTTGACAGGTACAGATGACCTGTAACCGTACCGTAATGGTGTTGCCTGGAATGCTTGACAGTATGGTATGGCCGTATTACAGTCATACGGTTGTTACGGGTATTTCAGCAAGGAATGACTGCTAGAATCAATATATATAAGCTATGACTTTTGACTTTTATCAAGAATAAGAACATACTTTCATGATTCTTCCGATAACTGATACAGCCTAATTAGCGTTGCCGAAGAGTTTTCAAGGAGAATGGATGTCATCCCGCAAACAGAACCAGGCTCTGTTAGCCAAAAAAGTCTTCAATAGCATGCACTAAGAGAAAATGATGTCCAGGCTACTTCTTTATGAGCACACAGACAAATATTTGGTCAAAAATTGAGCCGCATTGTGGGTTCCTGAGCTTTTGTGCACATACCCGTATTTACGGCTGTAAAACTGTATTACGCTATGGGTTGTACGTGCTGATGCCGTACCGCAAACTGTACCGTAAAAAGGTTCCTCGAAGGCCTGACGGTATGGGTACGGCACCGTATATATGGTACCCGTATCCGCCATATGTACGGGGATAACATGGCTTTTTACCAAATTAGGAATGAGAGCACCCTGTTCACACATCAGCGCTGATCCTCTCACGTCGAAGTGCTACACACCATTGACAGCTTCCTTCATCCACAGAAAAATCGCGCTGTTAAGGATTAAACACCCACTGTTTATTTCATTGCGATGAGAAAAACGAGGCTGGTCTGTAGGTCCGAAGAAAATTCTGCCACCTGCCACCGTATAACCCGATGACCAATATGGACAAAATACCACTGTATTTGTGGGGTAATAGCATACTGCCCATAACAAAATGACTCATCGACGCCGTGACGCAACCCTGGTAGCCGGGCACAGCGACAGGGCTCAAAGTGTCAAGCCACCTTCCCGCCAAATTACCGTCAGCATTGTTGAGATTCGAGCACGGGAGGGAACAAAAATGAGCAACTTGTTTATACCTAGTATGCCGACATGGTGGCAAACGGTAAAGAAAAGAAGACTACAGGTACAGTAAGTAACGGGTTCGGAGCTGGTTGATTCCGACAGCTCGTACAGCCACAGTAACTCTAATAAGCATTTCCGATAAGGTACCCCTGATAGAGCCACTTTCCTCGATCACCATCAACCTAGATAAGGTATAGATAGATGTTAGCGAATTTGACAAGACCTTGACAACATATATAGTCCTTAGAGAGACTGATGAAGCCGTCACATGGGCGAACGATGCCGACAAGATTGAACTCTCCCCGTGCGGAATGTCCATGGGGAGCAATATCAAGATGGAGCAAATAATATAGTTCATTGACTATGCCTCGCCTGTTATGATGATGTCACAGACAAGTCTCTGTTCGTCTGGCTGAAGGCGATGTGCTCTCTGGTAATAAAGAGGCTCCTTTCCACCAGGTTCGTGAACTTCAAGTCCGTCGTGATCATCTTTGATATGAATTCCGGTTGGAAAATACGACCTCAAGGGGTCCCCGGGAGATAAGGGGTCAAATTCATTGATACTTACTAGTCGGCACTAAAGAGCTGGCGTAGCCAGGAGGTGGAGTTCGTGAAGCTTCCATGTTTGATGAAGTTTGACCACAAGACTTTTCTGCGAAATAGGAGGTGGTGCTCCAGACAAAATCGCCGCATATGCAGTAAATTCGGTATACTGTTCCTCTCATCATTTCGTAGATTATTACAAGAAACGGGAAAGACATACAGTGAAAATTACTTCCAAGCACCTTCAATACTAAGACCTTATGATGATATAAATGACTGTCGAGACAACCTAATAGATATTGTGTTAGGGGGGGTTAACAAACTGAAACGAGAACCTGGCAAGAGGACAGGACCGACTACTAAAAGCCATGATTTCGTTTGCTGTACCATTTTGGATGCCAACTACGGAGGCACGATTCGGATAAGACCTCGAACAAGATGCAAAAAAAAAACAGTATTGCTGAAGGATTGCTAATTCCTCGACCGGGACTCGAACCCCGGTAAGCAGTACAGGATAAGACCCACAACGTCACGAAGGATTATTTGGTTGTCTTTTATAGTGATGCTCATGGTGCCTTCAACGGAGACGTAAATCGAAAAGGAGGCAGATGGTTCTTGTAATGAAAGTACGACTAAAACCGAAGCAGGAACCTGACTGATACCCTGAGCAAGAGGACATGACCGATTGCTAGGAGCCATGACTATGTCTGTGGTACCCTAACCGAGCCTGGAGAGTCGAGAATGTGGATAAGAGGGTTCGATAAGAGCTCGAGCGAAATGATACCAAAAAGGGTCCTGGATAGGCAACTTCATCCTCCGACTGGGACTCGAACCCAGGTAAGCAACGCAGGATAAATCGTGCACAGTACCGCAACGTCACGATGAAGTATCCCATTTCTTGCTTAGAGCTTCTCTTATACGTTAAGTAGGTCGAACAAAATGGTGTGAAAAAGAGATTTCTATGGACCATCCTTCGACCGGGACTCAAACTCAGATAACTAGCATGATAAGACCACAACATCATGAAGGATTGTCTGAACAAGCCACCTTTAAAGAACACACACGTGACACAAAGTTGAAAGGCAGATAGCCTAGTAATGAAAATACGGTCACTTGCACGAGGCATGATGCGTACGTGGAATCAAGCTCAGGCTCATGCGCAAAGAAGAAAAAGCTTACAACAAAATTCAACCCTTTCAAAGAGATTCGAACCCTATTTTTGGATGTCACACACCCAGTACATCACGAAGGACATGTATTATGACTACAACTGGACAACCGTAATCTTCCCAAACCCCGACCCGAGGGTGATTCTCCCGAGTTCTTCATCATAATCCAATGTGGTCCAGTTATTCAATGGGTTCGAGCATACCTCACGAACGCGGGGTCGAGCAGTGGGGTTGAGCGGGCCGGGGAATACGGCAGCCATGAGAGTCTCGTTGTTAAGAATCGGAATATTTTGAGCTAATACACGAAGTAATGAATACTCGAGTAAAACCTAAGTTGAGGGCGAGGATGTCCGAAAGCCGAGTTCCAACCACCAAGAGGGATCCATAAGAGTGTTAACAAGCACTAGGCGTAGTTAACAGGGCGTCAGCAAGCACTAGGCATAACTAACAGGGTTTCCGAAAAGCGCTAGGCATAGTCGGGAAGCAATTGATTGGCAAGCGCTTGGCGTAACCGATCAGAGATGCTTAGTTCACACAGTTAAGTGGACTTCGAAGATGAGTAAAATTAGCTTAAGAGATCCTAATACAACGGTAAAGACAATATTTATATGCTACTAGTAAGGCATTGAGTCATTATAATTCTACAATGTTCCACCATATTCTAGTATCGGCAAGAAGAATAGAGAAAGAAAGAGAAAGAAAGATAAAATACCGGTAGGCCGAGGTCAAGACCGAGAAGGCCGAGAGTAGGCATATGTTGACTCATGTACAGACCGGAAAAGTCATGAGATCCATAACATGGCCCCCCCAGTCTACATATGCTGAAACGAGGCGCACACCAAGTGAATGAAAAGAATTAGAACAAGTAAATATCATAGATTTGAATTGTTCTGCTGATTGTGGCCGTAACTTCATGAATCCTGAAATTAAAGCGATTCTACATCCTTCACATAGGAGCACAAGGTTCATTGCCTTCGAAAATGGCATTACCGGCAGGCTTCTTGCCGTTACATGAGTTGAAGATCGAGTTGGACTGAAACTTGTTGAGCAATAACAAGCACGTATATGGATGAATACCCAAGGACCACCTTTGAAGTGTGTTAGAACTTCCTTTATGCTTGGATAAGTAAAACGAAGTTCGGATGATAAGTGAATCAAGGAAGGCTTCGTGCGGGAATCGGGAGGTGCCATTTCCAAAACGGGAATGATATTGATGATCCCATCATTTTGCCATCTAATCGATTCTGCCATCGTTCCATTCACGCTCGAGATTGTGTTCTCCTTCGGGCATTGCCTCGAGGTCTCCGTATCTTTCACCTGATTTCCTAATGCATGTAGGCATTGCTTAAGGCTCGAGACTTCTATATCAACCTCTGATAGCGGCGCAGTCGGTGCTAGCAGGCCTGTTGAACGTGCTAGAAGGCTGGTTTCTGTATGTCCAGAAGGGATATAGGGAGATACTGCGATAGGCATGATGAAACAGTCACTGGGTACGTCGGTTGAGCTATTGATGAGCTGAACACATTGATTTAGTTGATCGTGTTCAGTTTTCTCTGTCCAATTGAGCTTCCGTGATACTGTACTGAACCCGACACTCTCTGAATGATCTGTGAGTAGTCGTTTTGACGCCTTTTTAATCACTACCACTTCTGTTATGATTGACACCCAGGGGTAAACTGAAAACCTATGGAAACTGATTGACTCCGGAACACTCTGACAAAGGAATTCCGATTGAGGTGAGGACCGAATCCTTTGGAGATGCTGCTGTCGATCCCTTAGCTCGGCTATAAGATCCCGTTGTATAGTAGGAATTGCTGGAAATCGGGAATTTTGGGAATCATGGAAAGCTCGATGGTCCAGGAATTCTCCAAGTTCCTTGTCTGCAAGAATGAAAATGAAGCTGGGAAGGCGATGGAAGAAAGCTGTGCTGAGTTCGCATCCGGTGGCGATGCTGAACTCTTTGGAGATGGCAATTGGAAATGTCTGCGCCTTAATTTGGATAGCAAGTCGATGTGGATTATGCACTATCCTAATACGTCGACTCTTTCGTGTGGTGCGTGATCGTCGTTTCATCCTTCAGCTTCCCTTACAAATGTCGTAAAGCCCTTTGCCAGGAATACGAACAGGACTGGTTGTATTCCAGTTTCCTATTGCTGTTAGAGAACAGCAGATGTCTGAAATACGAAGGATAGAGAGTCGATAGACGAGGCGACAGGGTAAGTCTTCTCCTTGCTGCCAACAAGTTTCTCGGATAACGTGTTGTTCAAGAAATAGGATAATATAAATGCAGGATTCACCAGAATGTCGTTTGGGAGACACGTGGATAGAGGACAACTCCATCTTGCAACGGTAGCAAGGGGAATCAGCTTTCGTAGTTGCCGGTGAGCTGTTTCCAAAATGGGAATGATATTGATGATGTTGATTGCCGCGGCCTTCCTTTTGCTGTGCTATCGATACCACCATTGGTTCATTCACCCTCGAGACTGTGCCCAGCTTTGGGTCTTTCCTCCATACGTCAGAGTACTCTGCCTCAATTTCCAGGACAATGTTAACTTCGACCATGCCTTGTATGTTGATACCTGGATCCCGAATTTGATCATCAAGTTTCCTCATGGACCCGGTGCGCTGATTTCTTTCGTGATGGCGTCGTTTTCTATTGGTCAGGACTTCTATAGATATGCTTACGACTTCAGGATCGCTTCCTGATGCATGAATGATGCGTCGTTTATGCCGAGCGATACTTGTATGAACTTCCATTTGTGCCATAGTCAGTGCTACGTCCATTGAACACGTTAGAGGGCCAGTTTGGGCATTTCCGAAAGGAAGGATGTGAGAGACTGCAATACCCATGATAAAAATGTGGCAGGGTATGCCATTTGAACTAGTGTTGAGCTGAACACTCCGATATAATTGATCGCACTCCGTCTTCTTTGGCATGCATTTCAAAGATGCTGCATTGAACTCGGCACTCTGTAGACTTTTCATGAGTAGTCGCTTTGAATCTCATTCATTCGCCGTGGCTTCCAGCATGGTAGGAATCATGGGAGTGTTTGTCGAGGATGTAAGGGATACATCAAGAAATTGGTTATTATGACCGGCAGTCGGCTTTGGTTTCGCAGGTATCACAATGCATATTTTGGCTCGGATATCCCCTGGTACTCTTCGATGCTTCGGATGGCGACAATTACAGCCCTTCCGACAGTACAGCTGACACTCCCGATTGATAGTCGACGGCGCTGTATCCTTCTTGACCTCCGAGTCGATCTTATGTCTGGCGAGACAAAATTTCATCTTCTGCTTGATGCAAACCCTAGGATGTGTAGAAAGCATCCGAATTTCTGTTCGGGAGACAGGCATAGTATATGAGCCTGAATCAAGGGTCTTTTGCAGGACATCGAGATCAATAGTATTCGTTCCCCTGTGAACCTTTGTTGCTTCGCTTCCCAGGATGGGTAATCTAGGCAACGGCTGTATGCATTCTCTCATTCTCATCCGTATACGCTGACGATCATCATTAGTGGACGTGACCTGGCGGGTAGCATGGATTATTCGCAGTAGCCGTCTCTGCAGCCAGTCGATGTGACGTCTGACTTTACGTGGTGATCGGGAATTCTTGTTCTTTTCTAAAAAGCGTGTGCAAGGCGTATTTGAAGCAATTCGAAAGGGGCGAATCTTGTTATTGGTTGAATAGGGAAGGATTTGATTGCCGATGTTATGACTCAGTGCTGGAGTATTAATGAATTTGTTCTCGCAACTATCCCTCGTGCTTGGATTACTCTTGCAAGCAGGTACGTCCATCGCTTGGAAAGTGGTGTCAAAACCAATGCTGGTATACTCTGAGTGACTGGGGTATGCAGGAATTTGTGAATTGCATGGACCACGACGAGATGGAAGTCGGTTTCCATTCTTGCCACCTCGACTCGAGTTAAGATTGCTAAGAGCACATCCTTGGTAAATGCTCTTGTGCATGGAAGGATCTCTAAAATCTAAGTCTTCAGGAAACTGAACTCGGTGGGATACTGTAGGCAAACTCTCATATCGACCAAGACACAAATCTTGAGATTCACTGACTTTGGAATTCACACATTGACAAAACTGACTTTGTGTTTTAGTGGCCCGTGAGTTGCTAGGATGCTGTTCCTCATCTCTTGTCGCAGTATAGTGTACTCCCTCCCAACTCAAGTCAGAGTACGAGGTCTGAAAAGAGGTCTTCGACTTGAAAGGATTGGAATGTGATACAGGAGGAACAGCATGAAGGTAATGTTCCATTATCATGACACGGGCTCTGTCAGGATTGCGCTGAGCTGCCAGGAGTTTTTCGTCTAGATATATGCGTGTCCGAAGATTATTCCAGTCATGGACATAATTGAGCATATGAAGAAAATGCTCGATGCGAATGCAATACTGCAAAGCGTACACCTCAAAATCATTGGCTGTCAAGCCCTTCACGGTGTTGATGCCCCATGTAGGTACTTTAAAATCTGAATAACCAAATGAATTGAGTGACGAAGAAGCTATTGCACGACGAGTCGTTAACCTGGTGTGAAGTTCCTGATAGATGTTCTGATCCATCTTGTAGACAACGTCTTTCGTGAACGTGGTGCAGGCGAAAACGGATGTGAGAAGATGATCTAGGATGCGCGTTTCTTCTGAAAAGGTATTGGTATACTGGTTGCGTGTCAGTACACGAGCACTTCGTAGACCATAGCCAAGTTTCCGGTCTCTACTGAGCCTAAGTATCTGAATAACGCGATCCTTGCGCTCCTGCAAATGTGAATGTTCTGTGAACGTGAAAAGTGGAACACAGGTTGGCCATAAGCAAGTAACATTCTGGCTATTAGTGTCGGAAATGTCTGCTGGGTCAACAGGAAACATGAGCAGTGCTGGAGGATCTGGAAAGCCGAGCGAGTGGCTAGGCAAATGCTGAGTTGGGGGAGAAGACTGCAAAGTAGGTAAATGAATTGTTGAAACGGATCCAGGTGTAGTATTTGAATCCATTGTGAGTAGCCGTGATGAAGTGCTGAAGTGAGCCGGAGATAATGGATAATTTGATTCCCTCTACAAGGTGGTCCCAATGTGTCCACCAATGTTAAGAATCGGAGTATTTTGAGCTAATACACGAAGTAATGAATACTCGAGTAAAACCTAAGTTGAGGGCGAGGATGTCCGAAAGCCGAGTTCCAACCACCAAGAGGGATCCATAAGAGTGTTAACAAGCGCTAGGCGTAGTTAACAGGGCGTCAGCAAGCGCTAGGCATAACTAACAGGGTTTCCGAAAAGCGCTAGGCATAGTCGGGAAGCAATTGATTGGCAAGCGCTTGGCGTAACCGATCAGAGATGCTTAGTTCACACAGTTACGTGGACTTCGAAGATGAGTAAAATTAGCTTAAGAGATCCTAATACAACGGTAAAGACAATATTTATATGCTACTAGTAAGGCATTGAGTCATTATAATTCTACAATGTTCCACCGTATTCTAGTATCGGCAAGAAGAATAGAGAAAGAAAGAGAAAGAAAGATAAAATACCGGTAGGCCGAGGTCAAGACCGAGAAGGCTGAGAGTAGGCGTATGTTGACTCATGTACAGACCGGAAAAGTCATGAGATCCATAACACTCGTGCCCATAGTGTTCTTCGGAGGGGAAGGCCATCACAGGATCATGGGTCCGTATCCATACAGCAGTACCACATTTTCCGAGGATGAAATCTGTGCATCGAAGTGCACCGCATCGAGATGATATTTTGCTAGTAAGGGTTGGTGGGAAGGAAGAGATGGAATAGAGTTTGAACGAGTTGAGCTCTGATGCCCAGGGGTCATCGTTCTCGAGGCAGATGAGGATGGAAGTGCGTGTTGCGCTCGCGCCGTCGACCCAGCCAAAGGAGTGGGAGGTAACGGGAGAGTGTGTTTGTTCGTGGAGCAAGGGCGGGGCAGTGTAGAGGTTAATGGAGCGTGCACGGATGACGAGGATGGTTTGTGTGCCGAGGATGATTTGGATGCAGTGGTCGTACTATGGGTACAGATAAATAAATGAGAATTATATCAGCTAGTAACAGTTACCTGCATGTCGCCTCATTCATCGAGGTAGGCCCGCTCGCCCGTCTTCCAATTATAGATCAGCGTTGTCGAGAACTCGTCGCTGAGGGCTATGATATCACCAGTGAGGGTGACGGGCTGGAGGTCGATCTCGAACGAGCAGATTTCATGCAGGATTCCATCATTGTCCAGATGCAGGAGCGCGATCCTCTGTGATCTACACAACTTAGCGATGGGACATCAGATCAACAAAGACTCACCCATCCAACGCCACAGTGATACTCGCCTCAGACTCTGTATCTGTGTTCAGCTTCACCCCAGTGAACAGCGCGCCTCTTGGTGACCACTCCGAGTACTTGTGCACGTGCATGATATCCCAGATCGTCAACACCGACCAGATTCCTTTCAATACAATCAGCAACCACTTGTGCTGTCGGCCTGGTATAAGTTTGATTTCGGATACAGGCGAGCCAGTAAAACTCGTCTCGCTCGCTGGCATCATAGGCGAGTCTGCAAGCCATCGAGATGCGAGTCGGTAGGCATGGCGTGTGCGCTGTTCAAGATCGGTGTCATCGACGGGAATGGGGTAGTCATTGGAGATGATATCGAGTTTGTATGCATTTGTCCAGACGATGTGTAGTCTTGTAAGTGCATTGAACCGTTTACATGTCTGTCATTATTAGCACCTGGGATCATTTAGCTGTGAAATATTCACCTGGCGGAGGAGAAGGATATCAGGAACAGAAAGAAACACGATAATGTAGATCATCACATCGTCAGGTAAGTTGTAGAGTGTATCGATATCATTCATGGACGTTGCAGTCCAAGATGAATGTGTGGTTACGGGCCGAGTTAGCCAGTTACTAATCCGTTCCCACGGCATTCCTGGGTAGTCAGTGCGGATAGCCTTCGCATCGTCGCAACATCAACTGTGGACGACTTGCCCTCCCTTCATGGTATGAGAAGTGGTCTGCAGCAGACTAAATACAGTATGTGCTCCCTGTTTTCACAACTCGCTCGACTTGTCCGACGACCCAGAGCGGTCTCATAAAAATAGAACTTTTACCGTCGTGTGTTCCCGCTATTAGGCCCGTAGACTGGGATGAGATATGTATTTTCCTTACATGATGCAGGACCAGCATCCAAAGCCAAAAATCGAATCAAAAGCATGATCCGGGTCTATCTGCGTATGCACCAGGGAGGAATCGAACCCTACATGAAAGCTATCCATTGCAGCAGTAGTGCCATGTGAGGGATAGGGAGAAAACCTCATTCAGTTCTCCATCTAAACCATGTCCGACAAGGACTTCGAATGAACAGACGTGTTGGGGCCATGGGGGATATCTTGGACAAAAATTCTAGGCAAAGGAATCATGTCAGGTGCTGAACGGCTATGTAATTCGAGCATATGTATCTTCTCAGAGTAGTCTAGCTTAACTCGCAGATGTACCCCTTTCCTCTCGTATTACTGGGTTGTTGCTTTCAATTTTCAGGGAAGATCCTAATATCTATCTATCGTCGTTGCATCAACGCCTTAAACATGATCCTGTAAAATAAAATGCACCACGCTAGTAATACTTCGCCAAGTATGAATCAGAATCCAGTGTTCCATCCTGTCCATCTTCTCCTTATCAGATTGAATCACTTTCTTTGGATGCTTTCGTGATATTTTCGCAAAATTCACAATTGCTAGGTTCAATTTGCGCTCAGTAAATCAGTCTAACCACTCGGCTACAGAGTGTAGAGGGCATCTGGTTCCTCCGGTCCTTCAGATCGCACCCCATAGTTTTGACGGCAGAGCTAAAGAAGCTGTAAGTGCACACAGTCCTCTGTCTTGTGAAATTATTACCCAAGATGTCTTCCAGAGCATTGATATTCCACTCCATGTCATCTCTTCTTTCAATGATAAGTTGAATCATTCAAAGGCAAACTTAGGCTGTCAAGTCTGAGAGTTCAATGGATTGCATTGTACTAGAGAGTGTGCCAAGTTTCAGAGCTCATGTTTGCATTAGCTACAAGATTAAACAATATTACCAGAAGTTGCAACGGTTGTACTTATCTTATACGAGGATAATTGGCGCTGTGATAGAAACTATGTCTGTTTCATGGCAAGGAGTTGGACAATGAGCGAGAAGGAATTCAGGACCCAAGAACCTGACTGAGCTGTTACACGGTACACCTTAGTTCGTGACTCATTATCAGACCCTAACGAAACTCATCTGTGTCAATTTCATCAGGATATTTACATGTACTGAAACATTCATTCATCACACACTGGACCAACAACTTCACCGACGAACAGATGATCATTAAAGAATACGCTGCACTGTGATGAGGGGTTCTGGGGAAAAAGGCGAGTGATCTGGTATTATCTCATCGCAAACCCGTGCCCACGACGTTCTCAGGTCAAAGTTCACCACTCAGTCGCGTCGTTTCACTTTTCCCATCCCATCCTCTCCTCAATGTGCTCATTTTTCTGCTTCCAGGGTAACCCTTGCTGCCTTTGCTGTGGTTTCCTCGCCTTTCCTCTGCCTCTATAGCTGGATAATTGAGTTAAGTCCTCAATTTCTGACATAGAACCCATTCAAGAATTGTATCTAGGCCCTGCATATGCGCTCTGGTGAGTCACTGAAAAAACCCACGACAACGGCGCACTCACACCCAATATTCAGGGTCTTTGTCTCGCCCGGGACATGGCCGACATTCCCTGGAATCATTGCTTTCGTAACGACACTTGGTGATGGTGACTGGCAGCAGGCGGGAGATGCGGATTAATGTTCAACGGTAAGGCATGCGCCACAGTCAGAGGCATCCATTTTGACATTCCCACATCTAGGGATCTCCGTCGAATTTGGCACGTTTACGACGGGGCCGACTCCCTGACAGTTCCTCTGTGTGGGGTCATAGATTCTTCTCGCAGCACCACAGGTGAACATGAAGTGCCAATCATTGTGCCTGTAGCCGTGATGTTCGTAAGTGATTCCATTTTGATCTTGTTGGGCATGGGACTTACTCTTCCTTCCGCAATTCCTCTATTTCCATTCTAAACAAATCATGGGTTTGTATTCCATTGGCAATAATGACTGCATACTCAGGTGTAATTCTTTTCACAGAATCGCCTTTACAGGAAGAAAGGCCGTAGAGACGACATTGTCATGAGCCTCGCTTTCAATTGTCGTGCCTCCCTTCACTAACCCATTGATTGCGCAGGTGGGCGGCGGCAAGACTTGACTATCCTGGTTTACACCTGCCATGCATAGAGAAGCTGTATCCAGCGAACCGTGCGTTATCTTTCCTTTTCGAAGGATGGAATACTCGCCTGTTCCCGAAGCACCCCGTTTAGTGAAAAGGTATGCCTTGCTATTTACAGCCAAGTCACTGTAGCTTAATGAATCATTATCAAGAAGTTAGATCGTCATTCGGTGCCGGGGAAGTAGCTGACACCGAGAATTTGCTTGTACTCATTAGATGGAGTATCCAGTAAGTCGCCTTTCTCCCCTTGATTTTTCTATCTCATACACGGATTGGCCATTTCAGGATGACGGTCAAGACTAGGTCCTGAAATAAGAGGGTTTGTGGTATTCAGGGCTCGGTGCCACGCCGTTTAGGGAAAAGGTACATGTCATTCCTTGAATAGCGGACTACTGTAGTTTGACGATTCAATATCCAGGATTTAGGTTCATGGATGGATGCTGGAGATGTAGCGGAGGCCGGAATAGGCTTGTACTGGTTAGGAGTGGTGGTAAAAGCACTTGAAAATGAAAGAAATCGATTGTAACAATAGCGCAACATGTAGATTTGGGGTAGTAAGCATGTAGAGAACTGTATGTAGTAGTCATGCCAATAAAATTCGATTTCCTGGACCGAGAGGACAAAAAAATAAGTCTGAACCCTTTTACGTGTATCCAGAAATGAACTAGAACTTACTTTCATATCTGCTCCAAATTTCGTGCTAAAGTTTGGCTTACACAGGTTCCTCCCTTCAAAGTCGGCATATGATCATCGAATCCTCTTGGATTACCTCCATTAAATGATGAACACGTCAGCAATGTGACAATACTCGCTAGAAGAAGCTATTATCGATGCCCTTCCAGTTTCTCGAACATCCAAAAGTCATCTGTGTATGACACTGGATACAAGGTCCTTGAATTCGAATCAATGTTTCTGAGGGACCATCATGAACAGGGCCGATTGCACTTGGTGCATTTTTCCGGCGCTCCAGACTAAGAACCATAAAATCATGGTAGCAAGGGAAATACGAATAAGAACGACTTGCTTACCTGAATATCCGCAACATCGGCTAATGATTGACAAGTCGCACCCCGAATTTGCATCCTGCCGAGTTCTGGAGGTTTGCTGAACGTTCAAGAGGTCATCACATCCAGTACAAGTGGGAGACTAGCATGGCACTGGGGAATGAGCGAGTGAACATGGGTGTCAGTGAAGAAATCAAAGAGGAAGGTACCACCACGTGAGACTTCGGCCCACTCGCATCATTACCTTCCACTACCACCACCAGCATCGTCTCGTACCCCATTCCTGTATTCGCTTCCTTTGCTTTCTTCCGCGTTTCAAAACCGCTGGATTTGTGTTGCATATGTACTTCTTTTTACTGATCGTGTCATCGTGAGTCGCTAAATCCACTCGACACCTGTTTCCTACCATCCAAGCGACGTGCAGAATGTTTACTTGAGCTGTTTCGTATTCTCATAGGCATTCCAAGCCTTGATTCCTCCCCCGTTTCATTCCTTATTACACTTACTTTTCTGACAGGAAACTCCGTTGATTTGATTTATTCAAGTTGCTGTGATACAGCTTGTCCCTCCTCAAGACTGGGTACGACGTCTGATGGCTCGTTATGGAGACAGTGCCTCGTGTGGTGTCATTGTCCCTTACTTAATTTTGAGTCCCGTCCGTTTGACTCATCTTCTGCTTTTTCTTGGAATGACAAGTGGACGGTTTACCATCCTTCCCCTTGTTTATATCATAATGATACTGATTACTCTTCAGTTCGGGTGAATACTGTATTATAATGCAAGCCATCGCTGCCCATGCCTTTTACAACAGTTCACACCAATACCAACACTCAGCAACCAACTGGCAAGAAGCGTATACAGGACGATACCACAGGAACAGTTGTGTCATTCCTCGGTTTATATACGGGTGCGACGTCCTGAAAATCGGAAAATCTGGATAACATGCAAGTATATCGAATATCTTTGTTATTTGAATTCTGATGTATCTCCGTCGTAGGGATGCGAAGAGTGTTCGGGAGGTTCAGTGGACCGAGTACACCGTAAGGCCCAGAATGTCGATGAAGGCAGTGGAACTTGAATTTGACTTGAATTCGGAATAGCGTGTAAGGTTGTTTTGGAATCTACAGGTTTTTTTTTTTGGACAGTAGAAGAGCCTGGATATTCATGATAGGTTACATCAAGTGGATGTTTAGAGAGGAGAAATTTCATATGGTTCTGAACTCGGAGAGGATAGCACTTGCTTCGCTCGTCCAAGCGTGGATTTCCTTTTACAGTCTGATTTTGATGACCCTGCACGGACTTTTTGCTGTGAGTGCTTGCAAGTCATTCCTGCTTAGGTTTGGTGTATAAACTGACGGATTATCATAGCATAATAATTTTATTCCACGAGAGGTACGTGTCTATGTACTAGAATACACTGCAAATGGCTAACAGCACTTTCTTTGGTTTCAGAGGGAACACGGCAGGGATAATTCAATGACAGGTTCAAGCTTCCGAATTTTGCTTAGTTGCATTTGAATGATATCTTGACAGCCAGTCCCGGTGGCCGATTACTGTGGAGATACCAGTCATTCTCCGCATTGTATCGTAAACACGATAATATCAACAACCCTCAAAAACAAATGAGAAGAACCTCAAAGTTTTTCCTCTGTGATCGGCAGATAGTGCGACGGCGAGGATGGGGCCTTGCGTACTTTCGGGTATTCCTTTTACCGTATTGTAATTATTCTGATTTCTCGTTGTTTTTCTTAGTTTCCCGTTGTGTTTGATGTTCTATCTCCGTCCAGATTTTTGGGTATAAAAGGAGAGTTGTATTCTCCTCTGAATCCCATCTCCCCATCACATCCCACTCCCACTCCCACTCCCTCACTTCTCTCATCCTCTTTCTTCTATCATCCTCCTTGCCATCTGGCGGTCCGGGATATCGGCGGCGCGTCAAGGTCCCCTGCTCATTTGTTAATTCGTGATTCCGTGACTTTTGCCACACTGCCAGCGTTTCCTTGTACCGTCATGTTCGAGTTCGAGCTGGAAGGTAAGTCTTTCCTTGACCATATTTACGTGCCATCTGTTTACCCTTTGTTTAGTAGCCTTATTCTTCGCTACAGCCCCGGTGTCCTCAAGCTGAGCAAAGGTAAGGCGCATTTTAAAATCCAGTTAACAAGTCTGGCTAATGGTTGCCTTGTGGGCTCCACATCAACAGAACCTTCAAACTTGTGGCTACCATAGTAGAGCCGAACACTGAGGTAGGTCGTTTACGAAGGTGGCTTTCTTTTTATTACCTGCATTCGTTAGGCTGGTATCCCTTGCATCCGCATAGCTACAGGCTGAACGACCAAGTATCACTTTGTACGTTCATTAATCGCTTTGGTTAGTATCTACTAACGCATAGTGTCAGGCTTAACGCATTTGTCCTTTCTTCGACTAGAGAAGGCGACGAATGAGACGATTAGGCCATTTATATGGTACGAGAACCTATATGGCACTTATAAAGGTATGTATACTATCTCCTCCCTTTACAGATTACTCGCTGACTCCACCTCTTAGAGGGAGAACAAACTACCGATGTGCTAGTGGAATCTTTTTATGTGAGTGGTATGTATGATTCTTGCACCGCTATCCGACAACTCATGCTCTGCAAGATTCTCGAAAGCAGCCTTCCCTTAAGATGTTGCAGGTGGACGTGCAGGCAGCTGAGAGGTCGCCGAAATGAAAGGTATGTGATATTTGCACATAACATTATCGGTAACTAACGAACTAACCCATAGAGCATTGCTTTGTAAGAATTAACCTCGACGGAACTGCAGTAAGGAATTACCAACGCCTGCTTGAAACACACGAAGGAGACTGAAACGACAGTGGGGAGATGGAGAGGTAAGTGCTCGCCATCACTGCTATGATCAAGTCGGATGCTAATGTGTGCTGTCATGCTTAGGGGTTCATGCAGAATTCAACACGCAGAGAGGGACAAGACCGAAGACGTGGATGGGGACCAGGGTAGAGGCAGTGGGAACGTCAGAGGTGGGACCAAGAGTGGGAGGGCGAGTCGACGATCAATGCAGGCTCCCGTCAAACTCGGCATTCGCATGTGATACTCAAGGGCAAGTGTGGGGTGAGCTATTTATAGAGACAAGAATGAGGCACGATAGGGGAAATCTATAGAGACAAGCGAGTCCCGAGGGTTGGTGTGCATCTGTGTAAGGTTAAGCGCAGAACCTGGGTGGAGGTACCATCGCATGATCATACGGGCATATCCACACATTAGTCCCAGGTTTTCCGAGTATGATGTCTGTGCATCGAACCGCACCGCGTCGAGATGATATTTTGCTGGTGAGAGTCGGTGGGCAAACGAGTTGAGGCTCTGATGCCTAGGGGTTGTCGCTCTCGGAGCGGATGAGGATGGAAGTTGGGGTTGCATGCGCCGTCGACCCAGCCGAAGGAGTGAGAGGCAACGGGAGAGTGTGCTGCTCCAGCTTCACCCCAGTGAACGGCGCACCTCTTGGTGACCACTCCGAGCACTTGAACCCGTGCATGATATCCCAGATCGAGTTAGCTGGTGACTAAGCCATTCCCACGGCATTCCCAGGAAGTGCGGTAGCATCGCAACATCGACTGTGGACGACTTGTCCTCCCTTCATGGTATGAGAAGTGGATTAATGACAGTACGTGCTACCTGTTCTCAAAACTCGCTCAAGTTATCCCAGAACCACAAGCCGTTTCGCAGAAATGGAACTTTTACTATCGACTGTCGTGTTCTCGCTATACCTCTGTATCACTAGGCTGATCAATGAAATCGGAGGTTCGAACAGATCTTTAACAAAAGTAACGCACTAATACAAATCATTGTAGCAATGAAATGTTGTGGGGTCTGACCAACAGGCAATAGCTACTAGTGAGTTGGTCCGACCTTGGTCGCAGGCACGAAGCTGATTGGTTCAGATTCTGGAAGGCGCGACCGAACCTGCCCTCACGACATCACCTGATCATGATTATTGCTGCCGTGCACATTTCTGTCTCCTTCAGGTTCATCGCAACCTGAACCGAGTTTGCTTTCATCGTCATCAGATGAGGTTGGCGTCCTGCCAAGTCGACCATCTTGGTAGTGTGCTAGCGGTTCCCCGAGTGCTATATCTCGCCAAATTTCGTTGACGAAAACTCTGGCCTAGGAAGGAAAGGTTGGCCTGTTTTTTTCTGTGATAGCTGCTTGCAAGAATACTGGTCTTCTATGTGACTTCTTCTCCTGGAAGGTCAACAGGCTAAACTCTGTCTGTGACTCCCGCTCCGTCTTTCAGCTACAGACTGTCAGACAAACACTGGTACTTTGATGGTCATGTCGACTTGCAGGCTGCATCAATGACAGGGCTGCATGGCGGTAGAAAACTAGGTGCGTACAGTCTTTGCCTACAAGACGTTCTACCCGAATGACTCTCACAGTATAGCTTTGTACTCATTCGCAAAGCTGGACTGCATGCTCTCTGTACCCACAGAACAAGCGCTATACCTCAAACAGTGCAACATCTTCCCTATCCGGATAATATTACGCTTCCGGGAGTGACATCGCCATTATCTACTGGACACACCCTTTCCAACCCTTGAACCTGCATGCTACCCAGGACGGGACGTCGATCGCTGATTGAAGGGAATCAGGCGATTACAACCCCCCCCCCCCCCCCATTAGGGCGTGTTCCCTCTCGCAGATCGTCTGTGCGCTAGAACCCCCTTCAGGCCTCCCAAGGTTAAATCTTTATTAGTAGGGTATGTTTTCTCAGCGTTTTATCAGTCATAGTGTCTGACTGTATGTACAACGAGCGAAGCAGATACCTAATCTGGTGAAAAAATCTTGTCCACTAGGTCACTCGCAGGCAGTGATCGTGTCTTCGTATTTACGTCCTGGAATTCGACTACCAAATTGTCTTTCCACACCGTATTGGCCGGAGTTACTCGCCAAAATACGTTGAACTCTTATTCCCATGCATTCCACATAACCTAACATAAGCAGAACATCAGAAAGGTGTCGATATTACGCTGAGGAAGATCGTTCAGTTGGCTAGCAAGCACATTTTTTCGTTGCAGCAACGCGAGAGTTGCACACACAAATCTCCGTTATGCCCAAATTGCGGTCCATCATACGTCTGATGCTATTCTGCCCAACAAATAGCCCAAAACCACGCAATAAACGTTAATGGTTCCCTAGCTACGAACATCTGGTATGGTTAACAGATACCAACAGTTCATCGAAACGTCGCAGCTGGTCATTACTGTCGCCATGCTCCAGGTATATCTCCATACTCTAGGAGATTTGTTTACTGATTGTGCATACAAAGACGCCTGCGGACTGATGAACCTTCCTGCTTAGGAGATGGATGAGTAAGGTCATTCCTACAAGGGTATAACCTCTCCTCCGTCTTTTGTCGGTCTGCTTACCATTTCCGCATAGATATCACAAGAGAATCCAGCACCAACACGCCCTCCTCTCAACGACCAGGCAATCCAGGAGAAACACATCCAGCGAGCGGTAGACGAAAGATCTGGGATTAGCATGTCTTTACGAAAGGAGTGTCTTTCGTTCATCGATCGATGATAAAATTGATGCCATTTCTATGAGACAGTGAAATGGTGCGAGGGTACTCAATACTCTTCGAGACCGACACTCACAACATAGCTGCTTTCCTGGTTCGTTATTTCTTTGATCGCCGTTTTTGGTGGCCGCTGTTTTCCTGCCCTCAAGGTATGCTTGCCTTTCGTCTTTCAGATTTCGTTTCAGACCAAGTGTGTAGGAAATCTCGTCGACCTGGGACTAAGGAAAAACTTGCGATGCTGGTGTTACTTCTATACACAGCCATGATTAATGCAGTACATTCAACTAACATAAAAATGAATATCCCTGTATGCACCTACATTCTTGTCCCATAGACTGAAAGCTCGAACGCACATTGAACGACCCAACCCTTCTTGCATATACAAAACGTTGTTTTGATCCTCCCCGAAAGAATTGCCGTATGATGAGGACAGGAAAAGTTTCAACAAGTTGGAAGATTGCCATGGCATGGAACCGAACCATGACCTGGCCCACGCTTAACAGTCCTGGTATGTGGGCTCATGAGAACAGCGAGATACGCCTGCTCCCAGCGTGCATCTGATTTAGACTCGAGTACGATCTTGGCCTACCCTCTCATCACTCGAAGTGATAATGCGAAAGTGCGCTAGAAGTCCTACACCTGTGAATCTAACCTCCACTATACCCTCCCATCTTCTTCGCTGCCAACAAAAAGAAAACAGGGAAGAAAAAATCAGTGCCATTAGCCCTGATACAGAGGAGCTGTCTCGCAGAATCGAATTACGGAGAGCTGCTTGCTTTGTTATCTGTTGATTCACGTCAGCTTGGAGAACGAATGCCTTGGATACGTAATAGTGAGGAGAGACTCACTTCCTGAGCGACACAGGACGAAATAGTTGCAACCGCAAGCTATGAATCCTGAACACCACACATTCCTGGACACGAATTTAAGTATGACTTTGAATACTGTCGCGCTATCTCGTGCAGGGAGTTACTTGGGCAAAATGCCCGGAACACAGTCCCACAACTAAAACCGCGAAGCAAGGGTGCCAGAAAGAGAGGAAATGTCCCGCTTCGAACTGCGCCTTCGTTGTAACAGCGTTTGGACCACGGTAAAGCTAAAAACAGTCTCTTGACACCTCACAAATCCAGAAAGCTATATAATAATAAGAATAATAATAATAAACAGCGTCCGACCCGACTCCCAACAGTGCATCACCAGCCAGTGGAATCAAATCGCCACACCGTCACCCTTTTCAGGTCACCTATTGCTGTCTGGGAAACATGAAATTTCAGTACACATACCCTGTGGGTGCATGTCCTTCATCCGTCTGCATCACACAGCATGCGTGAGGAGGCTTTCCAAGTTTTATTGCCACTGGACTACTTGAAGTGGAAAGGGATACAGGGGGAGAGTAGCAATAACGTGCACGACCCATTCCAAACTTGGCAACATAGGAACCATTTTAAGGATATGAGCGCATACATCGGAAAGCTGACTCCAGAGACCGTAAAGAGGATCGTGGACATGTAACCGATTGCTAAAAGCCACGACCCCATTAGCCTAGCAAGCCATCTTTATTATATACTCGGACCCCATCTGAAGTACCATAAATTTCCTGATACAGGTAAGAAGAACAAGATACAAAAAAAGCAACACATGTCGGAGAGCCGACCCTTCGACCGGGACTCGAACCCAGGTAGTAAGCAGCGCAGGTTAAGATGGCCTGCCCACAACGCCACAAAGGGCTATTTTCGTTGTCGTTTCAATGCAGACAGGAATGGAAAGAGAGGTAGATGGGTCTTGTAATTAAAAATATGACTAAAACCGAAAGCGAAATATGATTGAGACTCCAAGCAAGAGGATGTGACCAATTCGACTTTGTCTGTGGTATTTCCAAGGCTCACCATTGAAGAGGCCCTGTGCATGCCAAGCTTGAAATGCGATAGTGTAGATACACTAAACACACCCACTCTCACACTCACACACACACAGAATCTCAGTAGTTTGGGGGAGATGTGTGATGCAAGCACACAATAACAATAGAATTAAAAGATGTCTTGCACTCTTCAAGATATAGTAGTGCACTAGCTCAAAAGAATTCTCTAAGTCCAAATGCTTTTAGGACAGGAGGTGAGCAATATGTATTGCTTGGCCTTGAGGCGAAAGTAATATTTCACAAGCCCACAAAACATCCCACAAGAATGTACAACCCTCAATTTATGTTGCGTGCAACACACAGGTGGCCACAACCCATCAAACAAATTACACATGACTTAAAGCTTTGCGCTCTAAGCAGAAAACACTTCAGAAACCTTTCGTAGATCCACAGGGTTCAAACCTATGCGATCCAGAGACACAGAAACACAGAAACACGTCCACAAGCCACAGGGTTTGAACCTATGCTACTTGGGAATAAACCAAAAACCCTCAAAGAATATTGACCAGCCAAAGGGTTTGAACCTCTGCCACTTGCAACAACTCAGAATTCACAAACATGTTCTGCAAACACAAATGCACATTCAAGTTATCACAATATAATATTCCTCCAAGTTGAGCGCAATCAATTACTGTCCAGAATCAAGCTAAGCATCGTGCGCAAGCAAGGCATGCCTCACAACCTCTCAAGGGTTTCAAAATAATTCTAGATTAAATAATATTCTCTTGCTCAAAGCTACAAACACAATTCCTTTGGTTGCACACTAGGCTCTCTGCTTTGTGTCACAACTGTGGGGGTTCGAAAGCTTGCTACCTACTTCTAATTACCACACTTTTATCTACAGCTAATTATATAAATAGACCTATCGAAAATAGATATGCTCCACCCCAGAGCCATTTCCTCTCCATGATGCATCAACCACATGGTCACTAATTAATATTCTGAGTCAGTCATCCGAGTTGGTGCTCGGTAACATGCTGCTCTTTCTTCTTGGCAAGGTCTAGAGTTGCCACATCATGCGGAATATTTCTCCTAATTGGCTCCTTGTTTTTAGTTCCCCTGTCGCACACATCGCTAGCAAGTTGGTATTTTTATTTGGTTGCTGTACAACCTTTTCTTAGTTCAATATTTCATTCTGGGTACAGGGTTTCTCTCGTGTCGGCTGAAGCCCTCTCAGGAGGCTCGGACTGGGTGGTCCTCAGTTCTGAATGACATTTCTCGGTGATTGCCGGATCGGCAGGGTTTGCGTGTCATAGATCAATGTTGTGTGAAGCTCCATAAATATATTATCTTCTCAGTGTATTTTATTTGAGCGAGACGCTGCTGAGGGATGCCTAGGGTGTGAGTCATGGCACTGAGACTTCACACTTAAATGACACCAGTGTGCTGCTCTAAGTCTAAGCCATGCGCTCCACTTGGATTATTTTATTATATGCTGCTTCTGCCTCAACAGGTGTCGCTCCATGCCAGGTATGCACTCTAATATTACTTAGTGGGTTGACACATGTTTGGATTCACAGGATTCACAAAATTACACATATAAACGTGTTGTGTGCATGTCACTGCAATGGATGAGAGAATGATCTCAAATGCTTTATGCCATATGATCCTCTTGAAATCAGCATAATATGTCTTATTGTGATGCTGAGACTCTTCAGGTACCTGGTGAGGATGATTTTAATCAAAGTATTGAGGTTTGCATAAATTAAAACCTACGATAGGTAGCCATCCAATAATGCACCCACCCCCAACATCTTGTCCATTATGAATGTTAGATGGAAGGTTTCCTAATCTGACGATAACAGGATAACCCTGAACTGTGCCAAATGAAGAAAGCCAAGTTTTATCTGCATAGATGATGTAGCATATTGGTTTTCCATCAACATGTAGAGCCAACTATTTCTTCAGTCAATGAACTGCAATCTAAATATAAAAAAGAGAAATTACAAACCTGCACCTCCCAAAAGATGTTACTGGTCCAAGGCTCAGTATAGAAGTGTTCAGATGTTCCACCCTGGCTTTTAAAAAGTCACTGAGCATCCCAGATAAGGTGTGGAGCAAGGACTGGATCCTGAAGAATTTCTACAGTCCAGGACCATAGATCTTGGTAGTATACATCAAATTGATAATCTTGCCCTTTCAACAGCACTGTAAATGATGCCTTAGTGAACTGAGTCAAAGGTTAACACTTGCAGAAAATAAGGAAGAAAGAAAGAGACAAACGGGGGTATGGAATTTAGCTGCCTTATCTCACAAAGCAATTAACTCTCGATGGTTTCAAAATGAAGGCAACTCTCCTCCTTGTTTTGCCATATTGTTTAGAAGGCTGTCAATCGCACCTTCATTTAAAGCAGCCTCTAGAATAAATTCTGCAAGTTCAAAGTCAAGTTCTGAGGAGAATGGGTGCCAAGGTGTATCATCCAAGGGAATTTTGGGCTTTTCTGGAGCTGGATTGAAGTCTTCCAATTTATCTTCTCGAGTCTTATCTGCTGGAAGGATGATACTTGGTGCAGATATAGGTAGGTTCTGATTGGTCAGAGGTAGACAGAATGGGTGGGGAGGGAGTCCTAGTCCTATCTTCCTGTGGAATGCTTTGATCATCTGAAATTAGATGAGGATCGCTTGTCAGATATGTTAGGTAGAGAAGATGAATGATGTACCTGCTCTATTTCTTCTACACTCCCAAAGTTGTTCAAAGGTATCTGCCAAAGAAGATATTGTTGCTTCATCGGGCTTGGGAGAGGAAGTTGACTCGGTCTGGGGATTGTGAGTGGGCCACCCTGTGGAGAGTCAGCATTACAGAGAGGCTCTGTCAATATTGGACTACTGACATGGTATTTGATTTCTATATTGTCTTTCAAATGCAGTCTTACATCGATATTCTTCAGCCTTCTGAGAACAAGCTGTTTCATGGGTTTTAAAGCCTCGAACATTGAAGGTCTTTCCGCAGTGAGAGCAGGTTTTCTCTTTGCTTTGCATATTTAAATCACTGATCGATCTGATAAAATTCTAGGTGATTCATCAAAGAAAGGTCAGTGAGGATTAGGTAGAATTAAATACTGAGCTGAGAGTTCTCACTCTGGAAAGGGGGGACCTGTAGGAGAGGCTGTTCCTTAGTAGAGGTGATGAAAGAAGATATGCAAGTGGCTGTCAAATACCGTCTGGAGAATCCCAAAAGCAATGAACGCAATGTCATTGACATGATGTTATAGCTGGTGTAAAGTTGATCTTCCAACTGGGCATGACATCATAACAGCCTTATAGTCTAAGTCCCGGTCTCATCCTGCTGTTAAGTAAAGTTTTTATTGATTGACAAGATTTACAACAAAAAGACCTGAACAACAGAAGTTAGAAGATTTTCTCAAAGCCAAAAAAAGTTACACATGTCCTAAATTAGAATGTCGACTAGCTATTTTTGACTTATGCAGACAGCACACAAGGCAGTACTGGCAGGCAGCCAAAGCAATCAAAGAACGTTTGTGTGTAATGTCTTGCCAGAGCTTTCTCCACCTTCAAAGATGCTTTGTGACCCAACGGACCTAGGATACCCTTGGCCTCAGATGAGAGAGGTATGTCCCATTCGCACATTATACTTCTGAAAGTTTTCAGGGCAATGCATCTGTCCTTCCAAATAGGTGAGTAAAGGTTCGCAGAGGAATTGACAGAGTGTTGAGGTGATGGAACAAGGGATCCTCTGGGGAACAGCTTTAGTATTGCATTCTGATGTTGCAGTTGAAAGTCAGCATCATCTTGAACCAGGGAGTGCGTAAGAGATGTATTGAGTGCCAGTAACTCTAACCAGAAGTTGAGCTTGCAAAGCTCCCAAACAAGATATTGGCCCCTGCTAACATCAAATATATTGTCTGCAGATGCATTCAGGCTTTTTAGTGTAGATATAGTGTCTGGTCTGGGCATGTGAAGGGCAGTTCCCATCATATCCAACATGACATCATGAGATTTGCTAGTTTTAGTATGCTCTTTTTTGAAAGGCATTGTGAATAACTCTTGCCACACTTGTGGATGAATGGGTGTAGCATTGGATGTCGAGGAAGCAACATGATAAATGAGAGCATCTCGGCAATGTTCTCACTGGTGAAAATAGGTGCTTTGTCATGTAGTAGAAGCATACATGAGAAGTCTAGGATCTGGAAAGACATAGCCCCAGTTGGCATTGTCATCTTTGGTCTCACAGTTTGTGTCATGTTGGCTTTGAGTGCACCGAGCTCAATCTTCACACTGCTGAGAGCACTCTGAGTTTTGGTTAATGTCCACATTTGCACTGGCCCATGCAGGTATAGCTGGTGGAGCATAGGTCCTGGATAAGTCTGCAAACTTATCTCTGGTATTTTGCTGATTTTCTGATGGGACAATACATTAGCATTTTGAGACTAGAAAGGAGACAATGTTCCTTATGAGTCTTCCATCTTTGGGATGCTTCTTTGCTCGACAGAGGTCTAGATGCACATGCCTTGAATCTCTGGTTGTGCACTGGAGCACTCGAGGTTGAGGGAGTAGTGGAGAAGGTAGGAGAATTTTGAGCCAGCACAGAAGTTGAGGAAATAGCAGAAGTGGTATTAGGAGAAGTCACAGTTGTAAAAATAAAAGGATTGTGATATGTGTGAAAGATTCACATGAAACAGTGCATGGCATCAAATTTTTTGGGGTGAGATGGGTCGCCGCTGAATACAATAGGAAAGGAGGGCATTGGAAGAGTACGGTTTATGCTGAAAACAGTTGGCTCCACTGCTTTCAGTATAATTTGATTTGTGAACTGCTCGATTGGTCTGACGAGGTAGATGGGTATACCAGCCTTCATGTGTTGTTCAGCAACATCCAGATTAAGAGTAAATGACCCAATGAGATGACTGAAGTCAAAAGTCTCATTGCATTGGGTCTTTCCATTCATTACTGACTGATGGATCTCCATCTAGTCTAGCCCTGCAGAAAGCTCCTGCCAGTACCTCTGCATTGCTGCCACTTGCACACAGATACTCATAGTGTCAGCCATCACTGTCTCTGTCTGGTTGATTAAGGCTTCCAGTCGTGTGCACCTGATACTGAGAAATTCTCAAAATTCATCAGAAAATGATTTGGTATTCTGTATCAGAGAGCATCACCCATTGATGTAATCCCATGCAAGCCGGAACTGCTTATGAATATCAGGGCAGAGTAAACCAATATGAGAAAGGTAACCAGAAGAGAATACAATGTTGCTGTCAACGACATCATACCAGATTGTGTCAAGCCACTGGTAGTAAGGGTGAGCTGTATCATGAACCTGGGGTTGACGATGAATAGTGGGAAAATGACAGAATTTTTCCTTGAAGAACTGGGGAACATGAGTAGGATCGTGGTCTCCAAATCATCTGTCCTCATATAAATGGATTTCTCATGAGTTTGGAGGGTGTGGGATGAACGTGCTATTGGGAGCTGTGATAAAGATGTGACTGTCTTCAATATATGTCCCAATGTGACCATCGTTTACACTCAAATACCCTAATATTAGGGGTCACATCATTAGCCCTGCATCAACAAAGTGGACAGTCATTGTACCTTTGCAGTCCGAGGAGAATCTTGTAAGATCACTGAGTTGGAATTTGGAGTAAGATTGCATTGTGGCTGCTATGACATGTAGGTATGTCAGTTTCAACATAAGCTGACCAGAATACGAACCTTGGGACCTCAATATAAATGATGGAATCCTCAGTCCAGAGTCCTCGTATTCTAGTACTAGTACTGAGCATAACTATGTCCTTGAGTTTGAAAATTCACATGTCACATATGAATTTCCTCTGCACCTGCCAATACATGTCTCATATATTGGTTGTACAAAATACTCTCATACTTTGCACTTGAGGTACAGTTAGCGAATGTCAGATGGGATTGTAACACTAAAAACATCTCATAGAATTAGCAAGAATAGGGAGTAATATAGAGAAACTTACATGGTGAGTAGGGAAGCGGAAACAGTCTAGGAGCTGCAAGTTAAATGAGGGTTTGAACAAAAATGTAAGTTCGAACTTAGAAAAGAATCGGAGCATTGGTCCTACAGTCATGTGCACTCTCTGACATTGTCTTACTAAGTCAGTGCCTGTCTACTTTGTGTTGCTCTACTGATCTATACCATCTTCTTGTCTTATCCATGGCACTTTGGTAGCATCCACATTGACATGACATCGATGTGGGAGTATTGTTTTGCATGATGCAGAATAATAGACTCAGGTCATCCGATGTGATGTCAGATAGCCCCGATGCTACCAAAGTCTGTGGCCTTCAAGTCACCTATGTCGCAAGTTTCTCATCTTGTAGTGCATACCTATACTTTGACATCAAAGGGAGGAATTGTTTATCAGATGGTGGGACACCCAATCCTTTGCATATTACTCACAGAACACATGCAAGCCAGAGGTGAGGAGGAATTTGTGACCAAAGGGTTTTCCAGATGCAGCGTCTTTGCATTTGCATTTTCAAGATACTGTATGTGTGTTGTCTTATATCTGAGAAGATGCCTGAGAAATAACTTGTGAAGTTCTTCCTGATTTTTGACGATTTTTGATTCTGTATAACTATCATGATGACGCTGTGCCATCCCTCACATCAACAGTCACTAGCAGTAGCAACACCCACCCTTGCACCATATTATGTCTTAAGTATTTGCTTATCACCATCACACCTGTGATGGGTTTATCATCTGAGCCAAGCACATCTGCCACTTGCTCTCTTGAATCATTTTGGGCTTCAGTACCTGCTGCTGATTGGGATAGTCCATCTGCTCTCACCCTACATCTGAAGAAGCCAACTCCCAGGAAATGTCTCGTTCCCAAGAAGTCTAAACCCAGCATGTTAGGTGTTGGGGAGGTGTCAAGGAGTGGGAGAAGACCCAGGACTTTTTTGATGTTGTTCGGCATGTTGGTGGTGACACTTCTTCTGTGACAGGAGGTTTCAAGATTTACATAGACGGTACTGAGGATCTGGACATCTGGATGGTATGAGATGGGGAGGTGGTCTAATGGCAGAGGTCATGAATATACCCTCTACTAAGACAAAGAAGGAGAATGAGAAAGAAGAATGGAGCAAGGAAAAGAGCAAAGAGAAGGAACAGAGCAAGGATTTGCAATGACCTAGCATCATTCCTTGGTCAAAGAGTAAGTTTTCCTACAGGTCTTGCTTTAATAACCTCTCACAGCATCATTTTCAGCACTTGAGCCTTTCATGTCTCCTCCTTTGCAAGAGGCCAGAGCCCACTTCAACTCACTTGACTCTGAGACACTACTCTCCACCCCAAACATGTTCAGTCCTACTTTTCAGGCCAACAATTTCTCTTCACCTCAAATTGCTCCTCAGCCTCAGCCACATTCATGGACACTGACACTCGGCAGACTTCTTGCACCATCATCTCTATCCAACAATCAGAATCAAAATCCCCACTGGGGTTCCATCATGCTTTGAGCCATGCATTTCCTAGCTCACATCAGGAGCTGGGCTCAGCTGAAGAATCCAAGCAACAAGAACGAGTCCAAGAAGTACAAGAACATGCATAGGAGGATGAAGACTGCAAAAAAGGATGTGGAGAAGAAGCCAAAGGATTGCCAGCATACCTCAACTAGTAGCTTTGAAGCAGGCACATTGACTGCCAGTCCTGAAGTTACCCAGACTCTGAGATACAATAAGAAACGAAGTATCCTTGGGCTCAGGCTCCCTTCATCTATGAGGATGAAGTTGCCTGTAGCACGAGATGGGTCGACAGCTTCTTCTATGATGTTGCAGGCCCTTTCTCCAGTGGTGGTCATGGAGAGGCCAAGCTTGGCAATGTCAATGGCATCTTCACTTTGTCCAGATGAAGCGGGTTTGGAAATGATCAGGGATCTGAGGGACAGGGAAAGGGGTATCCAGAAGGGTATCAAGGAGGAGCAGAAGAGAAGAGATAGTAGGGAGAGCAGGAGGAGTTCAGAAGGGAGGAAGAAAACTGCATTGAGTGACATCTTCTCAGAGATTGGTGTGAGTGGAGAGGGCAAAGAAGTGAGGCATATAGGGGAAGGTTCACCAGCTGTTAGTGGCAGGGAGTGTCCAGTTGTGACAGCAGAAACTGCTACATGTGATGGACATGAGGATCCCGATGCAGTTAAGATGCTGGTGGCTATACCTGTTCATTGAGCTCGTCCAAAGACTTGCATCTGAACAGCTCCTGGGCAAAGTCAGACCTCAGGGGATCTATGAAGATTCCAAGAACAGTATGTCCATTTTTCTTGTATTTTCTTTGACTATTGCGAATATTGTTATTTCATAGGTGCTTTATCAATACATTGGATCTGGAGGCTACACTCGGTGGGACACCTGATCCTTTGCTTATTGCTCGGAGGAACACAAGGGAGCCAGAGGTGAGTCCTACAAAGATGAGGGCAAAGATGCTGCACCTGGAAAACCCTTCAGTCACTTCATTACATCTGTATGCCCAAGCTACTGTGTGAGCATCTTCTCCCCCAGATGTTCTATCTGGGATGAACTGTGAGAAGTGTGCCTGCTGTCTGAAATCTATGCCCCTGCATCCTCTGATCAATTCTTGGTAAGAACTATCTGCCTCAATACCAACAGAATTCTGCCCAGGGACTATATGGATGACTAAACCTCTGTAATTCATCCAATTGATAAAATAAAAAGACATATGAAGGCTGTCTATCTGGATTCACAGATAAGATGGCTGGAGGGAAGACTAAGACAGTGAGCTTCCAGGATCTCAAGCAACTGTCTAGGGATGACATTGTCATTGGTATGAACGAGTTCTGGATACTGGGGATGGCATCATTGACTGGAGAGAATGTCTGAGATTACTGTGATACTAGGGGTCAAAACTCCCCCTTATCTTCTCCTTTCTCACTTCCACTCTTTCCCACCTCCTCAAATCTTTCTGTGACTATCGAGACCATGTCCCCTTCTAGTGACTACACCTCTGGTGATGACAGAGATTTCAGCAATTCCAGTTATAACTCCATCCCCCATCCTAAATGCCATTTACCCCAGAAGAGGGCAGCTTTTTGCACAAATTGGTGGACCCCACCTCCACCCTCATTGACTACCCCTCTTATTCCTGCCATCCATCTACCAAGGCCAATTCCCAGTGAGTGGACTAAGCTGGAGCTAGAAAATCGCAGTCCCAAATTTCCCAACCTCTACATTCATGGGGCCAGTCAGACATTGTTCTGCAGTTTGGAGGAGGCAGCAGCAAAAGGTTCATTCTGCAGTTTCTTCAATAGACTAACCAGCTAAAGTTCATGTCAGGCATGCCTGCTCTGTGGCCTAGTCTCAATGATTTCCTTGTTTTATGGGACAAATATAGAAGTGAAGAGGATGGGGATAGCAAAGATGTAGTAAAATCTTGGAGCCATTCAAAGTATGTTGCAATTTTTGATCATCATTCAAATAACTGAGTCTGTTTTCAGAAAAGAATTCACAGCCCCAGTGTTGGAACACTTTGAGACACTGCACAATGATATCTATGGCAAGGATGCGCTCATGTCTGACTCAAAAGCTGTTTTAGTTGATGGTCAACTACAAGGAGGTATTGCTATCAAGCAAACATTTCGTTCCTAGTTTCATGTTCAAAATGCTCAGTGGGCATATCATCTCAATATGAGCTTTCAGGAGGCATGGGGGCTCGAGGCACCTCACCAGTCAAACAAAGCAGATGGTATCAAGGAGAAGGACTACGAGAATGTGCTATGTCAACAGGTGAATGAGGTATGATTCTTTGGTTTTTTTTGTGATTTATCTCATCCAAATGTCCCACAGCTTGCTATCTGTACTTCTAATGAGGGATTGCATAAAGGGGCACCAGAAGCACCTAGAATTATGAAGAAATGGGTGGATCTCATCAATTTCCCTAGAACTGGCAGTTTCAATCATTATGATGGCTTTGGTAGTTCCATTGATAATTGTTGGCCAGCATCCCAGATGAATATGGCGTCTGCCTGCAGGGGTCAGTTTTTCTTCATCAATTGTACAGGTTAAATGTCTAACACAGTTTCAGGTGAAGTCAACTGTAATTTTGAGGAGACTGTTGAAAAGGCATCTTTGATGGGTAAAGGTACAGTCATATCCGCCAATCAAATAAAGCTAGCAGACAACTTAATCTTTATGCAGCTGAAAATTCATCTAAACAGCCTTGATTAGGTCTCAAAAAAGACATAGGAAAATATAGAGAAAACCATGGTGACAGTGGTGATCATACTGCTGTTCCTACAGCAATGACCACTTTCACATGTCCTCATCCTAATGTACCAGAGGAGTGCTTCTGTTTGACAGAATTTGGTATTGTTTGGGTTCTCGAAGAATTTTCTACACTATACTTTTCTGGATTGCATATGCATGGCAGAGGACTGGCTCAGTATGGGCCTCTTCATACTGACGATTCAATCTATACTCGCTGTAAGGCTTGGGAACGTTGGTGTGAACTGAAATATATTCCCTAGCAAATTCTTTTGAATGGAAGGAGGGTCTTCAACAATTCGGACAGATTTGGACTAGATATGATATGAGGACAAGGAACTAGGTGATATAGGTTGATAGATGAGGATGATAGGTGATAGATGAGGATGTAGATGGTAGATGATAGGTGAGGATAATGAGAGAGAGATAAGGATGATGAGTGACAAGGAGGATAAAGGATGACTGTGGATGATGATTAAGAAGTAAAAGGTATACTAACTCCTTGGTTCAGAGCCCTAGGTGGTGCTAGGCTGCTACTGAGTTGGTGGAGTGAAAGAAAGTATATTGGGTCCCACTGATGTTTGGGGGGGGAGAGGAATCTCCCCCTTTCTGCTAATCTACAACTGTATATATACTAGTAGAGAACAATAGACTACTAATTTAGGGTACAATGGAGAACAATAAAACAATGAAAAGGGTTGTAGAACAATGGAAACAATAGGATCTATAATACAATAGAGAACAAAAGAACAATGAGGTCCATGACACAAACAATGAAAGGAGGACAATAAGAACAATAGAACAATAGAAAATACAAGGATTACCAAAAGGGAAGAACAATAAAGACAATAGAATGATGAAACAATAGAACAATGAGTCTCTGCTGATGATCATTTGTTCTATCATCAATCTCTGATGCTGAGAGATTTCTGATTTACAGATCTGAAGGGATAATTCCATCTTCCATCTTTGAGACTATCCTTTCCTGATAGTACAGTTGTGTGAGAAAGCTGGTTTGGTGCACAGCCTGAACTGGATGTGCACATCGTGTCACCATCATCTTGTACCCTCCTCAAGTCATTCTGAATGGAGAGTCTGTGCTTGTGTTTGCTGCCTTGCTGTACCCTCCAGATCCCTGTCATGCCTGTCAAACACAAAATAAGAGGAAGTGCTGGGCAGCTAAGGACACTGAGAATAGTGATATGGATGAGGATATGGATGATGAAGATGATCGCCCTGCCAAAACCTCCCAAAAGCAATCAATTGATCTCTTGAAGACAACTCTTTTGAAATTACCTATGGAGTGGCACCACCGTGGGTATGTAATCTCTTCAATATTATAAACTATGTAGTCCCAAGAACTGACCTTCCTCTGAATCAGTACACATCAATTATCCCTGGGACAAAACTATACCGAACAAGCCACATATCTCAGTGATGGTGGAAGCTTTCTTGCTCCGAAAGATCACTTCAATCATGGCATTCAATCTCTCATGCAGTGGATCAACGGTATAATTCAGCAATTTCCTCCTCAATATTTCACATGATATGACAAAGACAAGCTTCTCAGTGCATTTTTGATGGAGCTAGAAGGCATACATGTCACTGCAGAACCCTGGGATCTAGGTCCAGGATGGATTGGAGATGACATTAAGATTGGGTCCCAGTCTGATGTCTGCATTGAGTCAATGACACCTGAGCAGATTGTACAATGATGGAATACGAATGATAGCACCAATTCAGCTCTGTATGGTAATGCCAACATTGAAAAGGTCGAGGCAGAGTTCTACACCCTGGCTGAGGAGATAGGATGAACAATTCCTCTCAATATCAGTGCCCTCAGTAAGACAGTATGGCCCCTAGGAGGAAGACCACACATTGCTGATCCTCAAAGTAAACAAAGTAAGTTGGAATAGAAATTTCTTTGGCATTGTATTGATTATTTTTGAATGCCAATAGATTATGTTTCCCAGACCCAGAACAGTAATGGGAACAAGGATCCATTGCTGAAAACAAGAAGTGGGTGGTTTCTTAAGTGGCTATCCTACATACTAATCAACTGTTAGAGCATAAACCACATGACCAACTCAATCCTCATCCATCTAAACAGCAAAATGTAGAAGAAGAATGAGCTACATCTACCAATGATCATAAGCTTATATCCTAAGCTACTAGCACAAGCTTATAGTATATTAGCAATGCATGTTTTTGACCGAGAAGACTTGGAATTGATACTTGCAAAGGTTGAAGCTCCCACCAGTGCCCAGCTCAATTCCTACTTTGACATCAAATATTCCAATGCCAGCTTCATTGAAGATTTGCTTTATGCTGGGGAGTCGAAAGAGTCATCATTTTTGCTCCTTCACAGGCTCTTATCTTGTTGAGCTGGCAGCAACCATCAACATGTTCTTGCTTATCGAGCAAAAATTGTTTATTGACAGCAAGAACAACTATCTAAAATGGTGCTGTGGGGCTGTGTGGATAAACTGTTGAACAATGCTTGGGAATCTCACAATGACTTCTTCAATCCTCTGTGCAAACTTTTTCACCATGTCTCCTCCCTTCTTACAACAAACTGAGGCCAAAGCATATGCACAACAGATTACCTCCATGACTGGCCTCAGGAATGTATAGCTAATTTCTGGCCCTGAATTCCCTGCATTGACCCAACTAGTCAGGCTATTATCGATGTCTGTCATGATCTTATGTCACAATGGCTAGGTTTGGGCCAAGATGCATCATACAAGAGTGCACAAGTCATGCAGTTCTTCATTGATCAGCTTGGTGCTGAGGCCACTTTAATTGATCTTCGGAAGTTTGATATATCAACCTCCTTGAGAATGGAGGATCTGCAGTCAAAACTCAAGAATGTAGCTGTATATAATGAAGATAGCACTGAGAGGTCGTTGCTATGACAGATTGCCAGTGTTTCTGGTGCACCCAACCAAGCTAATCTGACTGCAATCCTGGTAAGCAGTCTTCTATTTTCTCAAGCTAAGATCACTTATATATTTGATATCTCAGCAAAGAACACCTCGTTGTGATAGACTAGTCGATGGTTCATTACTACCATTCTCCCAAACTCCCAGAATATCAACAATGCCGGGATCTGCAAGTGCTTCCTCTAGCACAAATGGCTCTCTCCAAGGCCCATCATCACCACTAGCTTGTTCTCAACTCCCACCTTCAAATGCTCCTAGTGCTGGAACTCACAGTGATATCAAATGACTTAAACTGATGTTTGAGCTGCTGTATCCCCTTCTTGATGGATCATCAGAGCCTCATTCACCTTTCAATGAGACTCTGGAGCTCACTGCTGCTGCTTGCAACTTTATTGACTATGTCAGTGCCAATACAGATATGTGGAGCATTTTCTGAGATCTTGCCAGTAGCCATCTCTGGTCTCAACAGTCTGGTGGTCACTGGGATTCTGATAACTTGCAAACACCAGCAGGATTTTTTAGCATGCTTGTATGTTGAGGAATCCTCCATTGTACAGTGTATTTGGAAGACCATAATAATCCTGTTTTTTTTTGCTGATGAAGATGCCTGGAATGCAATTTGCTATGGATCGCTGCAGCACTGAGGAGAACAGTATTTCTGCAATAAAAAGGCCTACAGCAAATGGCCCAGTAGCAAGTGAACATCTGCCAACACATCACAGTACTGGAAAGCTGCCTCTAATTCCAACCACAACTCGTTTCTGACTGCAGCAGAACCCACACCTTTCCTTGATCTCTGGAATCACTTCAGAAATAGCAAAGTCCAAGGCTGGGACAAGGAACATCACTGGATCAAGGTCTTTCCAGAGATTGGTCCTTTACAGGCATATCTGATTGCATCAGACTATGCAATTGCAGGGTTGGCAACCATTCCAACACCCGCAGAAATGGCCAAGGTCATTCTAACAATCAATTCCAGTGGTATCAAGGGCCTTTGTCTTCTGAATTTGCCCTGGTCAAATGAAAACGAGATTGCATCATCACTCCAATATGTCTATGAATATCTCTTGCAGGAAATACCAACCATGCAGCAAGAACAAATGAAGTTTAACATATTTGTCATTGAGCATTCCTTGTGTAAGTATTCTTCATTTAAGTGGTTGAATAATGATAAGTTCCATATGATGGAAAATCTCTTAGCCAGGTATGTGATTCAAACTGCATTGAGACCTAGCAATTCTTTACTCAAATCTTTTTTATCATCTTCACAGACATTTTAGAACTGCAATTTAGACATGTTAATAATCATCTATGAATGTGAATAGAAAGAATGCACTATAGCTTAGTTGTTAGTGTTTCATGTGAGGCTAAATCTTGCTCCCATCTGTCTGTTTTGACTTTAATTTGTTGATATTTGTTAACCCTTTTTTTTTTTGCTACATCCACCTTTTCCAGCACTTTGCAAAATGTCTCAAGCATCCAGTAACTCTGCCATTGCTCAAAATATCTCCATGGAGGAACTGGAAAAGGTACAACTTTTAAATTTTGTATTGGAATGGGTTAGTAACTAATACACTCATTGGAACAGAGAGTGAAAATTCTCGAGCTTCAAAACCAGACACTCACTGCCAAAAACAGGACCCTCCAGGCAGGCAAGACTGGTCCTCAGTTGATCTCTGACTCGACCCCCTCTGAATCAGTCAAAAGTGTATCCTCTGTGGATGATGCAGATACTGAGAAGAGTATTCTCTCCAAAGCAGATAAGAGAAAATTGTGGCATTGCGGTGGTGCTCTCATTGTGTTTTGCCATTTGTGGTGGGAGAAATAGCATGTTTTTGGTTATCCAAAAGAAAAAACCTTAGAAGAACTGTCTCAACTTTGTTGGGAACTCGTGGACCTCAACAAGACGAAATGCAATGATCAAAATGCTGTGCAGAATCTCAAGATCAAGAAGGGAAGAGTTGAAGAATGAATCTCTCTCCTGCGCATTGTTGATGCTCTTTACAAGGAGGTCCCCAAAAAATTTCACAACATGCTCAAGTACAATTATAGTGAGGTAAAAAATTTGGTGTGTTTCTTTCCCGGTGTGTCCTTTCTGTTGATATTAATGACTATGGCTTCAGATGAAAGTGGCTGCTTCTTCAATGAGGACAACCCTTACTCTCCATGCAAAACGTTCAGCAGCTTCCATTTTTGCAGATGTCCCAATCCCTCACACTACCTTCATTCCTGGATATGATCAAAGCACCGATGAGCAGTGTTTGAAACTCCTTGGATTTGATGCAGCAAGGAGATGATACGAGCAGAGTCCTATAGCCTTGCATTCAGTTATTCAAGGCAAAATGCCAAACCATACAGTTTTTCAAGCTCCAGCGCTTATCAAGGTATGATGACAATTTCATCTTTAGTACAGCGCTTTTATCAATATTGTATGGCAGATCCTTAGTATAACTTTACATGGTGAAACATCACTTCATTCCAATAAAAAAATGAAGGGTACACATGGGGACCTTTGGGGTTTCACACACATCATGGCTGGAGCTGTTGCAGGATCAGCTATAGTGGTGATCTCTTATGTCTCAAATATCATCCAGCTGCACCATAACTGATGACATACATATTTAGGCTTGATACCTCCTATCACATGACCCATTGTTTCAGCCTGAAGGAGAGAGAATCAGTATTCCATACTGCCACAACTGTGACTTCTACATCTGAATGATTGAGTCAACCCTTGATCTTGATTCAACATAGCAAACTTTCGACCTTTTCAATAAACACCTCTTTTCACCTGGGGCACATCAAGTAGGATTCATCATCACTGATGCTGGAGAAGAATCCAATGATGCTGAAGAAGAAATGCTTTGGGCTTTACAGGAGCCAGAGTTGGACCACCAAACTGAAGTCAACATCTCAATTGATGATGATGATTGGTCAGCAATAGTGATGCTATTGGCGATGTTGATGCTGCTCCCACATGCCAATATTGTGGGCACTACTAATTCATCCTCTTCGGAGCCAGGCTATGTGGAAATATCTGACAATGAATCCCCTGCCATCACTGATACCATCACTGACACCATTGCCATCAGCAAGGTTTTGTAGATGCCAGTCATCTCAGAAGATCTATCCACCCATGTGTCTGTAGCCAAACCAGCCCAAGATCGAGGTTGAGGAGGAGGCAAAAAATCTACTTGTGGAGGTGTTTGAGGGAAAGGATCTCAAGGCAGCGGTACTAAAGGTCATGGAGCAGGAGCTGGAGTGTCTGCCAACAGTAATGTTGTTGAAGCTCCCTGAGGTTCAGGTGGTCAGAAGCTTTGCTCTAGAGGTGGTGATGTACAATCCCCCACCCCCATCATGAATGCAGCAGATAATGATTTAGATGAGATAGTTGAGGAAGATTTTGAATATGGTGCAGCTGGCCCTACTTAGTTTAGCTGTTGTGATGATCTGTTAGCATAGTTCAATATGATGTCATTGGGCTGGTTTTCCTACTTTCTCAAGCCTAAAACAAAAGAAATCATATTTGTGGGTTGACTACATTTGTATAGTGAGGTGGGGATGATAGTATTATATTAACCTGATGAACATAAATATATATAGATCTCATAGTATACTGGTTATATTATCTAGTTGAATTTGTATTTGTAATTTTATTATAGAAGTTGCTGGTTCAATTCTTGGTCTGTGTAAAGTAAAATATTTATTTCATTTCTCCTACTGGCTTATATAATTGCAATGACTTAGCTACTAGTTTGTTTCTGACCCACCTTGGGAGGCTTGGTGGGTCTAGAATTGTATCTGGAATTCTCCAATTCTTTTAAAATCCAGAAATTTTCTAGTTATTAAAATTGATTAAAATTCACCAGTTGTCACCTCTCCAGCCACTATTTAAATCCATAAAAATTGGTTACTGATTGTTATAAATCAAAAAAATTCTCATTCAGTCATTTCCTAGGATAGCTTTAAAATTAATTTAAATTTTTGATGAGTATTCTCTAAATCAATTTAAATCTTAGACCGGTACTATTCCCTACTTGATTTAAATCAGACTTTAATGTCATTGAAATTATAACAGAGTCTGATTTAATTCTTGGACTCTCTAGAGGTAATCAATTTTATGGCATCTCAGCTGATTTTGGGATTTTCAGCTATTTATTCTAAAAAAAATCGAAAAAGTTCTGGATGCAGAATGTCTGACAAGACATGGAAGACTGGCAAGCGTGGCTACCTTGATGATCATCCCCTAGCTGTTCTAATCATGCTTATTCATCTGTTCCATCCACAGTACAATCTGTCCTCGCTCCATCTACTATCCTCATCATCTGTGCCAGCTGCATCAGCCTCTACATGAACCAGTTCCTCACTGGAGAACTACCGACCACACACATCCTTAGCAGAGCATACCTGCTTCTTGCTCCCCATCCTCATTGCTCTGCAAGGCACAAGTTGCTCATACTGTACTCCCCCAATCTTCAGTAGCAAAATATCCTCTGATGCACACAAACTTTGTTCTTGGCAAGCAGCACATATCCATCTCAGTTAACAAAACCTTCATCGCTGCTGTCTCTATCCATGTTCGTGAGGTATGCTCAATCACCGAACCACGTTGGATTAGGATGAAGAACTTGGGAGGATCGCTTTTAGGATTAGTTTACAGTTTTTCAGCTGGAGTCAACATGCATGTCCTTCATGATGTACCATCCAATATGCCTATTATCAGTTTGAATGTCGATCATAATTGATGATGTCATTTTTCTCTCTTGCAGTTAACTACCTATTTCTTGCACACCAAAACAAATGGCTCATATATGAAGTTTTTTTTTTCTTCTTGCTCAAGCCACTGGAAATCATACATCCTCTTGCTTGGAATATCTGTCCTTCCACAACTTGACATTGAAAAGAGACAAGCAGTAGGTTGAAAAATTAGATAGGTTCAGGTTGTGCGCCATGCACCAGCATCGAGAAGCAGAATCACACAAACTTGAGGATGTCACAGCATGAATCCTGTCGAGAGAAAGTAGTAGAACATGTTGAGCATAGTTTAGATTATGATGCAGATATTTCCAGGGTTGGTCACCCTCCTCGTGGGATATAAAAACATAATCCTTTGGCACTAACTGTTAGCATTGGAATGACTAAACTGGTGAAAGAAAGTGGATCTTTTTCTTCTGTGGCAAACTAATGCACCTTGAAGAAATAAAGGTCAGGCTTCCATTTCCACATCCTCGTCTGCCATGGAGGTTATCAGGCTTTTATTATGTGGCCTGATACTTGTCTAATTTCTGACCCTTCCTTCTCAGACAGTTGCTTTCTACTGCATCTTCGCCATGACACAGAAATAGATATAAAAGAAAAGGCCACAAAAATCCTTTATGCTTTTGAAGATATACCATTTGGGTCTCAGGTTCTCGTTCTTTCTTTTTATCCTGTACTCATGGGCGAGGAGAATTCTGCATTTGCTTGTGTTTTTTTGCGTTAATTTTCATTTCAAGTGAGTTCATTTGTGTTTCCATCATTGGATGTATATAGTGTCATTTGTATGCCATTGTCTACAAATGCGAGGGCTATTTAATGTTTTTGAGTCCTTTGAATATATTTTAATTTTCAGATGAGCATAGTATGTCAGAACAATGTTATATATACTTAATAGAGGTAATTCAGCTGTTTAAAGTGCAACATACATAAAATATGTCACATACAGAGTGCCCCAGATACACAATTAATTGACTGCAGGTCTAACCCAAGTCCCATTCTATGAACACAATACATCAACTTCACGATGGTTGTGTCTGAATCATTAATGCACACATTAACTTAATTTACGCATGCATTTTGAACATTCTCGCAAGCATTTAAATATTCACACAAATGCAGAGGCAGCTCACGCATGTCAAGAGACAAAAACGCATGCATTACAAGGTTTGAACGCAAGTGTGACATACTCATCACATTTGCATTTCACTGGAGTTGAACTTGCACAACATGCTTTTCATCCTACTGTAACCTCATATTGAGTTATTTTGTATATCTTTTACTATGAATTACCTTAAAATTGTCTTAAAATCCCAATCAATATTCATAACAATGGTTTAATAGTGCCATCGAAGCATTCCATTACCTATGGGGCTACAGCTCCTGTGACAAGAAGCAGGACAGTATTCTAGTGTCTACAAGTGAGAATCATTGCTCTCTGATTGTCTGCAGCTCCACCTAGCAGGTCGGCAATGATTTTTATGGAATCGGAATCAGCTTCTAGGAGCCAGGTGGCTATTGCATGCCTAATTCTTTTCTGTTCATTTAAGTCATTAGGGAGACATCTTTCAAGTACATCATTGAGACTTATGAGGATACCCATGAAATTTTTGAGGCAAGATCTGTGTAAGAACTCAGGGTTCACAAGTAGGCAGAAACTTGAACTAATGTTCATAGCAATTGGGTTAGCCATGGTCTACTAACTACAAGGCTTTTATACTAACAGAATACATAGAATGTAATAGAATGTATCACTGTATCACTGATAAAGGAGTGCATCCAGGGAATATGGGAAGAATAAACAAGAATATTCATGCAAGCTCTGACATCTAAGAATAGTGATCCAAATTCTAACAAGATCTCAAGTTGGCAGGCTTCTGCCATGGCATAAGGGACTGGGTTATGTCATGCCATGACATGTCTGCAGGTGAAACGCAAGGATGTCATGCACGCAAATGTAAATGCATTTCAATGCAACTGCCTTTTCAGGAAACACATGCATTCAAATGCAAACACAAGGCAATGCATCCATGCATGTGGATAACGCAGAATTCACTGTGCCCTGTACTCATGGTTATGCTGTTGAAAATTAAAATTGTTGGAAAACAGGGTATCAGTTTGTTCCCAGGGTCACATGCATGGTAGCAAGCCAATAGTATTGCACTTGGCTGAGCTCTGCAAACACATGAGGATCTACTCTATAGTACCTACTTTTATACTAAATACTATTTTACTAGAACTTTCCATGCTTTTCTCCTGACTTCTATCTTAGTAAGCAAACTTGGCATGATGCCAGATTGCCAAATCCCAACAAAAATGAAATGGTAATTCAGATGTGAACTTGAGCACAATGGAAGGAATAAAAGTAACCCAACACTATGCTTGTTATTCCTCCAGTGGGATTCCAAGGGGGGGTTGGAAATAAAATCCCAGACAGGGGTAGGAGGGAGGGGGGGGAGGGGTAGTAACCTTAAACACAAAACCTCACCTACCATATATAGGCATTTTGGGGGTCTGATGGGTGCCATTAGCATGAAATAATAGCATCTACATTTAAAATGAAGATATTTAGCTCACACATACATTTGTAGTCTGTTTTTCACCTTGTGAAAAGTTACGGTGTTACTGCTTAAGTCCCTGAGAGATTCATGTGGTCAAAATGATTATGAGAGCATTATAAATCATATCTATTATAGATATATTACTGCCATATATGGTAGGAGGGGGAGGGAGGAGGGAGTCCCCTCAGCCTTAAACATGAAAATGTAGGTCATGTTAGGGATTTTATTTCCAACCCCCCCTTGTGGGATTCGAATCTGGGTCATACTTAATTCACCTTGATTAAGTTACCCACTATGTCTCAAAGGCATATATTGTTCACATTGCTACACCTGAATCTTACCAGACCCAATACAAGGGACAAGCTGTCCCAAAGTTGGGCAGTGTGCCCATTCAGAAGACTATAGGGACCACTAGATTCCCCATTTATTACATGGATAGACTTTGTGCTATGGAAAGGTATGCGAAAGTGAAAATGGCTTGTCACAAAAGGATTTTCAGATTCTTTGACCAGGTCAGAGAAGATAAAATAACTTGAATGCAAACTTCATACTACAGTACTTTCAATGGAGCCCAGGAGTGATAGCAGCAGGTTGGGCATCCTAGACTTGCAGGTGGATGCTCAATGCAGTGCATCCTAAATGATGTTTCCTGGGTGATTAATGCTCACTAGGAACAGCATGTATGACAGAAACGAGTAAATACCATATGATTTTGTATAATTTTGTAGGTGATAACTGGCAGAGATAGCACAAATAATGTAGGGTAGCTAGCCACTATGCTGTTACTTCATTCTAATAAGCTTGCAGTTTTGGATGCTTGATATGAAGAGGCATGGGCACAGTGAATTTCGCATTTTCCTGATGCATTCATGCATTTGTTGCATTTGCATTATTGAGCATGCATAGGAAAAAATGTGTTGATGAGTTCAGTGCATTTCCATGTGTGACAAGCATGCATTGTTCTATTACTTTGTTTTCTGTACAGCCTATTCCACTAGTGTTAATGTTTGACTAGAATTTTACATTTGGGTGTCCTATTTGGATC